GTTGGTAACTACTGGGACGCTACGAACGACTGGCCGAGATGGCGTAGATAGACGCTATCGATGCAGTGGATCACGTCTTGCGGTGTGCTCGTGGGCTTGGGGCTCGAGCAATGAGAAGACGCTGTTTCGGTGGTTCTGTTTGCCAGTCGCTCTTGCCCTTGCTGGGTGCGCCGCGAGGAAGGTACGGTCGTGGCGTCGGGCAGGAGCGCTCAGGGCCCTCGCCCGGTGCGGCAGGAGCGAGCATCCCGCAAATGACGCCCAGCGCCTGAAACCCGCGAGCGCAGCGAACGCTTTGTGTACAGTAGCAGCACTCAACCTCGCGCAATGCACCGTCACGGCATCAAAGCGAGGTGCTCCAGCTCGCACACGAGGGCCTTCGCACGCAGGAACGGCCCAAGCGCAGTCATTACGCATCAGGCCCAGCGTTTCAAGCGTGCGTCCAGCGCGGCCAGGGGGCCTGCCAGCGCTAGGCTCGATGCAGGGTCGCTGTCGCTGCCACAGGTCCCCCGTCACTTATAGCGCTCGCATTCGTCCATGGCTCGCTGCTCCTCCGCTGCTCGTCACTTTTCTCTCCTGGCCCCTCCATCTCGCCCTTTCCTCTCTACCTCTCTCCCTTCGCTCTCTTCGACTGCACAGTGCCGCTTCTGCATCTTCTACCTGCTCCCCCAGTTGGACCAACTTACCCCCCGCCTAATCTGAGATTGTGCGAGCGCGCCAGTCCCGTCGCTCCCCCGAGAGAAGAAGAGCTCGCCAGCCGACGCATCAACCACCAGCTTGTCTGCCCGTGATCCCGTCGCTGCCTGTTCGTCTATTCCCCTTCATAAATATCTTCGCCGCTGCCAGACCGCGCCTGCTGCCGTCACCACTCGATCCTTCTGACAGCACATCAAACGACACGGCGCCCGAAGAACTTGTTAATAGCTCCAACTACATTGCCCATCGGCCGGTTTTCGATATCAACTCTACCTTACAATCCCGATCTGTACGATCCTTAATCCCATAATCGCCAGCCAAATCGCACCCTGCCTCACAGCAAACGTCTCGTCGGTGCACGCTCGGTTTCCGTCTTGCCAACACTCCCTCTTCCGGCCTTCTTCGATTCTGTATCTTTCCCCGTGTGCGCCTAGCATACTCCTTGTTGCACCTTACTCTTTGTTCGCAACTCTTCTTAGACCACCACAATGAGCATGGACGCTGGCGGTCTTGCTCAGATGACCTACAACAACTTCCAATCCCAGGGTGGCTTTGGCGGTCCCACCTCGAGCTTTGCCTCTCGCGGCAAGGGCGCTCAGCTTAAGCGTCTCAGCGTCGCCTCGCCGCCCAAGGTTGCCTCCATCGCCGAGGACTCGGTTGCGACTCCTCGCACCAGCCGCTCCCACCTCCTGGCCGGCCTCCGCACTGCGCCCAAGACTCCCACGTCTGCGCAGCCCCCTGCTTCGGCTCCCTACTCGCAGCGCCAGCACAATATTGGTGCCAACAACGCCAACAACTCCAGGCAGTTCAACCGAACCAACCAGGGTGGTCCTCAGACTGCCATCGGCTCTGGCTTCAGCGGTGTCAATCAGTACAAGCAACAACAGCAGCAGCCTGACTTCTACAACCAGGTCCTGGCCCCTCCCCAATTCGAGTTCGATGACGGCGAGATGGACCCCAATGTTGCGGCTCAGCTCCTGGCTACCGAGCTCTACCTTGCCCAGAGGCAGCAGCAGCTCCAGCAGCAACTCCTTGCTCTGACGACCCAGCAGTTCGGCAACATGAACATGAGCGGTGGACAGCAGTACCCCAACACGCCATACACTCCTCAGATGAACGCCTATGGCCAGCAGTTTGGAAACACCGCTGCCATCCAGGAGACCAATCAGCCTGGTGTCTACCTTGTCTTCAACCAGATGACTGGCCAGTACCAGTACGTTGTTGACCCGAGCTACCAGCAGGACAACGGCGACATGCAGACTCAGAATGGTATGTCTGGTCTGTCGCACTCGCCGCCGCCGCCTACTCCCCGCTTCGCTACTTCGCCGCCCAAGGTCGACACCCCAGTGCTCCACGTCTCTCCTCCCAACGAGAGCAATCCCAGCCCTTGGGGTTCGCGCAGCACTTCGCCGCCGAAGAAGTCGAACACCCCACCTCAGGATGTAGTCCCGCTCCCGCCGCCATCTGCCAACGCTTTCCGTCGCGGCCACAAGAAGAACCTGTCTTCCCTTGCTGTTGATGGCAAGACCGAGGAGGGCCCTCGCTCTGCCTTTACCCGCCCGGTCGGCTTCCCTGCCACCCCGATGACTGGCACATTCGGCCCTGGTCAAGCACGCGCTGGAGAACACCCAGTTCGTCAGCCTCGCAACCCTCCTTCCATCGAGGAGCTCAAGGAGCGTCCCACCACCAAGCATGAGGGTAGCAAGAACTTTGCCACTCGTCAACGCCGCCAGGCCGTGGGCAACCTTGTGCGAGCTGGCATCGGCCGCCGCGCTCACCGTACCGGCAGCGGAAGCGCCTCGCCGGACAGCGACCACTTCCCTTCGTCCGACAACGACTCCGACAGTGTTCGCAGCGGAGGAAGTGGCAGCCTCTCGGGCAGGCCCAGCATCGGCAGCCTCCGCGCTGTTGCCAACGGCGCCATCGGCTCAGAGCGCAAGGCGTCCAAGGAGCGGTCTCGCGACAACTCCATCAACCGCTCCTACACCGCCAACAGTGTCAGCAGCGATGACGGTGCTTCCGTCGGAGGCGGCCTGGTCGACATCCGTCCCGAGGAGATTGGCCAACGCCGCATGCCCAAGCTTGTTCTTACCAGCGCTGAGAAGCGCAAGAGCACCGTGTTCTAAGCTATCAATCACGGATTGGAAAGAAAAACCGGGAGTCTCTTCCCCTGTGCATATTACTGTGGCGCTCTCCGGACGCCTCTTGTTACGGCCCATTACGAAGCTTTCCTTGTTTGTTAGTTCATTTGTTTGCTGCACTTGACCAAGGTCACTTTTGCCATCTTTCGAATATCACGATTACCATTCGTCTCTTGCCCATTGGGAAGATCTCCTTTTCCACCCCTTCTTCTTGTTTCCCCAGACTCTTATGCGAACTGCTTTTAATGAGCATGGCGGGAACGCTCTACGGTTTTTGGCCCGGCGATTTGGGCGGGCGACTTGGGATATGCTTTATGGACGTGAGCTCAATGGCCTGTGGCTGGAGCTCACTGCCTTCTTGGGGCTTCAATTCTGTGTTACCATTGTTTGTTGGAAGATACTGTGCTTTTGACCAAATCCATTCGCTACCGCCGCAACCAGGCGATGCACAAGGAAGAGTGGATCATGTAGGATGAGATACCTAAATGCAATCACACTCGCTTTCAAAACGAACGCTATTCAATTGTGAGATGAGGCCCATGATTTAACTCAAGGGTTACTTTCCCCAGAAAGTCAGGCACTGGCTAGCAGCAACCCTTGTATGTCCGTGACACAGCTTGCAATCTCATGAAATGAGTCTGCAAATCCGGAGAAGTAATCTCCATCTGTGCTCAACGGCGACTCGGTCAGGGTAAAAGCTAATCTCGGTACTGCAGTGTGGCCATGGCCGTTGAACGGTGATCGACAAGATGCTCGCGTGATGTTGAAGCTAGAGAATCGATAAGCGTGACAGGGCTGAAGGCTGGTGTCGCATCGCGGGGCAACTGCGAAGCTTCAAATGTCAACACCAAAATATCTCCACTCGACACCACACATCCCGAAATCGCCTACGCCCTGCATATTCAATACGTCATCCTCTGGTCCATACACAACCAACAACTCGCAGCAAGCCACGCCCATCAATACAAACCGCATCGCAATGGCCGAGCCGCCTGTCGTCCCTCCAATCGAACCCCCACCACCGCCCGAAACGTCGCGTCCCCTCCACACGCTTCCCGCGCCTTTCTCTCAGGATGCGCTCGAAATCATAACACAAGGCGCCGAGGCTCTTGTATACAAGACCACTTTTCTCACCCCCCATACGGCCGTCGTCGTCAAATACCGCCCACCAAAGCCATACAGACATCCCACTTTAGACAAGCGCCTTACAAAGCAGAGGTTACTAGCCGAGGCACGAAGTCTTATAAGGGTCAAGAGGGATGGCGTTAATGTACCGGGGGTGATTGGCGCGGACTGGGATGCGGGCTGGTTGGTGCTGGAGTATGTGGATGGCAGGACTGTGAGGAAAGTGTTGGACGGGTGGGCACATCAAGTCATGCAGAGAGAAAAAGAGAAGAAAGACGCGGAGACTGGAGGAGGAGATGCAGCTGCGAGTGGCAATGCAGAAGCGCAGGAAGGACAGGAAGAAATACTAGACCTAATGCGAAGAGTCGGACGGGAAGTAGGCAAGCTTCACGAACTGGGAGTATGTCACGGAGATCTCACAACAAGCAACATCATGCTACGAACACCCAAGTCGCAGGACACGCCAGCACAACAACCACAACGACGAATACCACGCGGAAAGCAGACAACGAGCACACTCCGCGAAGCAGCCATGAACGGCGAAGAACCTCCAGACCTTCCTCCTGCAGACCCTCCGCAAGAATCCAACACCAACTCGCTAGCTGGCGACATCTTCCTCATCGACTTTGGTCTCACAACCGCTAGTATACAAGATGAGGACAAGGCTGTTGATCTTTACGTCCTCGAGAGGGCGTTCTCGGCAACACATCCCGCCGCGGAGCCGCTGTTCCAGGAAGTGCTCAAGGCGTATGGGGAGTGTGGGAAGGGGGCTAGGGGTGTCCTAAAGAGGTTAGAAGGGGTTAGATTGAGAGGGAGGAAGAGGAGTATGCTGGGTTGAGGGGATTGTTATAATGGCTACTTTGTATTATGAGGCTTCAGAAGTTATGATATGGTGAGGTGTGCTGTCCTTCGGGTACTTTTCCGCTATCAAACCTAGTTCTCTACGATGATGTTTGTGGCTACATTGGTTCAGGGGCGGTGTCTTCTATCTCCGCCGTCGAGCTGACGACCTCCAGGCTCCCTCATGCCTTCTCAGATATCCTAGGGTCCGGCCACCATGTCCTTCTTGCTGACATGACCTGCACTTACGGTCCTCTTGTACTTCCGCTCGTCATCTTCATGTACCCTTGTACAAGTTGGGACGGAACAAGTGCCAGCCTTGTAGTTGGCACACCTCGCCCGCTGGCACTTGGCACAGTTCTTCAGACAGCTCTGGCATGGCTCCCCGGAGTCACACCGCCTGTCGTTTTCGAAGCAGCGGATGCATACAGCAAGGCGCTGCTTTGAGACCTTCCAGCCCCAGGGAGTTGGGATGGAGTCAGCTATGTTCTCGACCCTGCAAAAGTTAGCGACGTCATATGAAGGACCTAGACAAATATACGGTTTCTTCGGCAAGTATACTAACACTGACAGAGCAGTATCGTAGACCTCTTCCACGGCCGTATCCGCCTCGACGTTGGTGACAGGCTTGTCTCTGTTAACATGTTAGTAGCATGAAAGAATGACGTAGTGAGTATGCTTACCTGTGACGGCGACGACGAGTCCTCGCCTTCTTACGAGGCTTCTCCTTCTCTTCCTCTGCTCCCTCTTTCTCCTCCTGCGGCTTCGACATACCACAGACCAAGTTCTCAAAGAACTTGACCTGAGGCCTCTCCTCCGTCTTGGATGCGCTCTCGTCCGCATCTGGACCCTCCTCAAACGGCGACGGCAAGTCCCCGCGCTTGCGCTTACTGCCCTTCTCGTTCAGCGCCTTGAGACGAGCGAATGCTCGCTCGCTCTCCAGCAGACACTGGATGAGATTGTTGTTGTGAGCTTTCAGCCCGTCGATCTAATCGCGCGCGAGCTTGAGCTGCGCCACCAGCTTCTCGTTTTCGAGGGCGGGGTTGGCGGGAGGCAGGCGGGAATGCGAGGTCATGGTGTCTTGAGGGGCTGCAATTGGTGGCGACAGCTTCGGAGGCTTGTTGATGTACTGACTGATCGGGCGACGGCGGTGGGCACTATTGTGGGGATGCGATTGGGAAGATGCAGGTAACGGGCGAACGAAAAACTTTGTGACTTGAGAAAGTGTGGGATTTCGTCGCGTAAAGAAAAAGGGTCTAGCAAATTTTCTCGTTGTTGCGCGTTTGCGGGCGCTCACTGAGCGGCTATACACCGCTTCTGCAGACCATCTGATGTTTCAATGGCGCCGAAGCTGCTGCGATCTATAAGTAAGAGCCATTTGAAGATGCGCAGTACTCATGAGATAGCCTCCAGCACGATACAGGCCGATAATAACTTGGTCGGAAGGGTGTCACGTGAAGCCACTTTCACTTCGTTGTATCGACGTCCTTGCCAATCGCGCAACCACCATTCAACCGTCGCTCATGACGTCAATCAAATTTCTTTTCAACTGGTTACCTCCAGTCAACGCGAGATAATCGCCAACGTGGGTTTATCGGCAGTGACACCACCGAGACAAAAGATAAGAAGTGAGCACGAAAGCAGAGACTCATCACAGCAGCGCAATTGGAGAGAAGAATAGATCATATGAAAAACATTGATTGTTTGACTGTGGCTACCGTGTGCCAGATGTGCAAAATTGAACCCTTTACAAATCATTCCGTGGTGGGCCGTTGAGCTTGAAGTAGCCCGGTTGGAGGATCTCAAACACACCGGTAGGATCATACTTCTTGGAAATGGCCTGCAATCTAGCCTTATTCGCGGGACCGTATCCAGCAACGGGATCCTGCCACGGGCTAGCGTAGTTCATGTACAGATATCCGTTGGCTTTGCCCTTGGCCTTGGCTGCTGCCACACAGCGGTCCTTGATGCGTGCGTGGAACTTGTTCATCTTGTCATCGTCCGCGCTGTTGGCCCAACTCATGGAGACAAGAGCTAACATGAGAGGGCCGTCCTTAGGGTCGAGCCCAAGCGCATTGCCCCCATTGGTGGCACTTTTCTCAATGATAGGGTCGGTCAGCACCTGAAGCGAAACGGCTCCAAGAAGACCGGGTACGTCGAGGATAGTGTCAAGCTCCTCGAAGAAGGTGTCTTTAGCCAGAGTGGCCATTTCTAGGTCAAGCTTAGTCGTCCAGGTCCAGAACGCTTGTCGAGCAGCTGCACCTGGGGCCGCTAGGAGCGAGGTAAGGTTTGCGAGACTGTTGATTCCAGCTTTGTCCGAGATTGCTCCCTTGATGCTATTGTACTCGGTAAGGACTGGTGCGTCAGTGATAGGGTCTGAGTATTCCAACTCGACCTGAGCAATCTCCCCGACTTCAGCTCCATAGCCGAACGACAAGATCTGGTGTGCCTTTCCGTCGTTCTTTCCGTTCATGCCGAGATTGTAGTACGCCTTGATGAGAGTCTCGGATTGGTTTCCGTAATATGTTCGCATACCACCCCACATGGTTGGCGCTCTGGGAATAGCATTGACGTTGAACTTGGTGACGATACCGAAGTTGTTGCCACCCCCTCGAAGAGCCCAGTAGAGGTCTGGAAACGAATCCTTGCTGACATTGATGATAAGTCCTGAAGCGGTGACCAGTTCATACGAGATGACGTTGTCGCATGCCAATCCGTATTCGCTTGAGAAGTATGAGATGCCTGAAGATTGGTTCAGCGCATGTTGACTGGTAGTGTTGTGACATATCGGTTCTTACCTCCGCCTAGAGTTAGCCCACCCACACCGACACTAGCAACCTAAGCAATCATCAGTGATACGCCTCTCTATTCTCACAGAGTCCTACTTACTCGACCACCAATGATGGCAACTTCATCTTTCTCCAGCTTGGTGTACACGTCGTACCATGTTTGGCCAGGCTCGAACGTAGCGCTCTTCTTGTCGGAAGATGCTGTTGTCTTGTTCATCTTCTCGAAACTGATCGTGATACCACCCTCGATGTTCGAGCCGCCGGGTACTGCTGAGTGGCCTCCACTCTTAGCGGCGAAAGGACATTGCGTAAGACGTGAGAGAAGGATAGAAGTTGAGACGTCCAAGGCTTTCTCAGGTTTGAAGACACATTGTGGAGAGATGTCTCTTTGTTGGCCGGCCCAGTAATCGCCGATGAACGCATCGTATGCGGCCTCAGACTGTGTCTCGACTTGGTCGTCACCAAAGATCAACTTCAACGAGTTACACTGACGACATTTTAGTCTTTACGGATTTTGCATGCTCGTTAATCAGTACTTACGGCGATAGAGCAGCCATCCAATAAGGATCTCTCTGCTAGAGGTGCAAGCTCGGGTAAAGCAGGGACATCAACACCGTTTTTCAGTAATGCCTCAGTTACATTGAAGTCTGCGGGTTCGAAAGTAGCTTGGGATACAACGCCTGCCACCAAGGCAGCAGATGAGACGGCGTACTTCATCCTTTCGATCGGAAAAGCAGGGTCGATCTACGAACAGGGTTTACGAAAAGAATTGCCCGAATGTGACACGAAGGTGCTGGGCACAGGAAGAACGCTGCTCATTTACAGGAAGGAATCTGTAATGATGGTGGTTGCGACCCAGTAGTAGGGAACGAGATCCTTTTATCACGCCAACCTTACATGCAAATTCTCGGCGACACCAACTTGCCGGGCGCGGGGGATGCTGTAGCCCGACATCGACGGGTTTGTTGGCGGTTCTATCCTTGTATATGCCTTCAGTCTTAGAAAGGGTAAGCTGGCATGCAGTGCACATGTCTACATCGAAGACCTCGGGATGAGTCAGCTGAACCCCTGTCTGATTCTAATCCACTGAAGATCTCAACATGTAGTTTTAGATGAACTAAACACCATCTTATAAATATTTCCATGGGTGTGCTTTTCTATACGTTCGTAGTTGCGACGCTCGTCAATCGGGTCCAAAAGTCTGGCAGTCATGGTCTTCGTTCCTGCGTGGGTAAAATCTCCCATGTACCTAGGTACGGACTGCGTGTGAGACATACACTCACTTCGTACATCGCGCTTCTGTGTCTGAACTAAAATGACGAAGAGGCGGTATTACCGAGATCCATGCCAACGCTCACGTTACATGCATATAGTTCTCTTCCCCTGGTCTGCATGACCCCACTGCACACGGCAGCATCCTTCGCACCATAGCACCCGTTCAAAAGACGCCCGCAGGTGAAGATGAGTTTGCGGAGAGACACGCTCGCTCGGACCGGTGAATGCGCAAATGACTCAGTATTAAAAAGAACTTAGGTATACATGTTTTGCGACGACAGTCGTGGGAAGATGCGTATACGTGTGCTGGTATGGAAGTGGTGGCTAAATGATATGTGGGCTGCTGGCTCGTGAGGTTGGGGTGTCTCCGCCAATGCCACCACGGCCTAGATAAGCCCCCGCCCGTGCAGCACAGCCCCTTGTTTTACCTAGCGGCACTAACGTTCCTGCATCCGCCAGAACATCCGAAGTGGCGTTTAAGCTTCGCCGCTCTCATAGCACGATGCGAGACGCATCGCAGCATGACTCACATCACCCCATTACATATTGTTGGGATGCCAGAATGCCTCCCGTTCAGAACCATCATTTGGCTTGACTTGGAACGCTCTACATATACGAACAAGACTAAGTTTTCGCTCGCGACGGCCGGGGCCGAAGCTCTTGGACGGCTGTTATGTCCACACCTAGATATCGCCACCGTAGGATTCAATTCTAGATTGACCATCTGCTAACCGAGCCTCAAGGATTTGGCCCCAACCTGAGAGGAATCGACCTAATTCGCTTCCCACGCCGGGCCGTGTCCGACCCCTGTTATGCCTCATGCAGCGAGGGCACCACTGATGTACTGTGCCGCACTTTATGGGGACCTGCTTTTCTAGATCTATGCTGCAGCTGGCCGCTCTTTGAGCATAAGATTATTGATCACCTTGGGGATTGATATGTGCTGTTTAGGCAGAAAGAAAAAAGGACGATGTCTACTGTGGTGACTACATTCTTCTATCATCATTGCGCATTCCCTTCTATACACCCGAGGTCAGTCAGCGGCCGATACAGTCCGATGTCAGACACCGAGCCATGTCTGCCCAGTACAAAGAGATCATCTCAGAGCCCGAGTTCTTTCGGGCTTCTTACGCTATGGTGGTATTAGCTTCAGCCATCATGCTCGTACGTATAGGCGTGCAGGTGCGGAGGCGCAAAGCTATGGAGTTGCAAGACTATCTCATATACCTGGCTTTTGCATTGTTCCTCGCCTTGTCGATATGCTATCTTGTTAACATTTCTACGATCTTCGACATTTCAAAGGTTCTGGTAGGATCACTTGAACCTTGGCCAACATTCCAGTCCGACTTCGTCCTCAACGTTCGGATCGTGTTCGTTACCACTGTACTGTTCTGGTTAACGCTATGGTCGGTCAAGCTGTCTCTGTTAGCATTGTACAAGAAACTACTAGAAGGCCTTCCGCGTGTATGGACAAGACTTTGGTGGGCAGTATTCACATTTTGTATCGTTGTAAGTCTATATTATCGCATGCTCTTTAACCACACTAAAACCTCCGATGTAGTCTGTTCTCGGCTGTATCGCTTCTTATCTGACTTCTTGTACCGATTTTACCGCCTTGATAGTCAGAGGAGACTGCCCAAATACCCCCCGAAACATACATGCCCAGCTTGTTAGCCTGTACATGTCCTACGCTGTCGATATCCTATCAGACCTCATGAGTATGTGATAGATCCTCCTACTAAACATGTTGGTATTAATGCTGCCAGTCATGTTTTTACCAATCCGACTTGTCTGGAACCTTCAGATGTTACGCCCGCAGAAGATCGCTATCATCGCACTCTTCGCATCTGGCTTCGTTTGCATCACCTTCGCCACTCTACGCGTTATACAGGTCGGCAGAAAGTCCGGAGAAAGCACAGCACCCAGTCCGACCTGGCTAGCGTTCTGGACGCTCATTGAGTCATCTGTAGCTATCTGTATTGGTTGCTGCCCTGCGTTTGCTGTGTTCTTTCGCCGTGCCCACACACCTAGCATATCCTATGATACGAACGGATACGTGCGGCACAGCCCGAGTGGATCTGGAGCATACCAGAACAACGCAGGCACGATCAAGATGAATGCTGTTACCACTGGCAGTAGCAGGGATAGGACTTCTAGGCGGGATACGCACTGGAATGTTACACGGAGCAGCGAAGAAGATTTCGCGGCGGACAACAAGACAAGCCTAGATTGGTTACCACCAAGAAGGAAATTCGATACTCCCTCAGAGATGGACACTCTACCACCGAGAAATCCCAGAGCATCGACCAATATGAGCCCAACATGAAGTTTTCTCGTCCTTCTATCCTGGTACGAGGGCACTGAAAGATCTCACCGAGATCATTGCAAGCCTGCAGTCCGGCTTTTTTTCTTGCTAGTACATACATCACGGCTACCTACACCCTTCTGGCCAGGCAATGAAGATCATTTTGCATGTCCTACCATTTCACTCCGATTCTCGCGTTCGCGCACACCCTCTCCCGTCGGCCTCGATCACAGCCGTGACATCGCCTACTTTCGCCACCTTCAGGTATTCCTGGAGCTTCAAAGCTGATCCCAGATCTCAAAATCACCACCACCACCGCCGCCACAATGTCCGACTCGCAACATAGCATACCAGCTCTCACAGCTCGCCACCCAATCACACTCGCAATACCCCTGCTTCCAGGAGCCAAATCCTCCTCAGCCCTCCTCACCACCCTCCGCGCCCACTAAACCATGCTCACAGACCTCTACGTCGCCCAAAACAACGCCTACGTCGTGGCCTACACCGAATTCGAGACACAGTACGCAACAGCCACTAGGACTACTTCTCCAGAGATGCAGGAGGTCATTGCGAGACTGCTCGGACAACAGAAGGAGGTCATGTTATTCCAAACCTTGCTCTGGAGTTTTCAGATGTTTGTTGCTGGCCTGGAGAGCAGCGAGACGCATGATTTGGACGAGGGGCAAGCGCGTGAACAGGAGGGTTTCGGTAGTGGAGGGACGAGGGGCTTCGAGGGCATGTGGCGCTGATGCTTTTGCAATCTCAAGTCCAAAGCATTGAGCTTGTGTTGTGGCGATGTGCAAAGAACACCAGGTGGTGAGTAAACCGTCGCAGACAAGAGTCGGCTCGTGAGGAAGGAAGGAGCACCGAGGAAGTTCGGATGCGGTTCAGCGCCTTCACTGGAACAATCGCAAGACAAAAAAAATGCAACAAGTGATTGCAACAATATTCATTGAGATACATGCTGATATCGCTACGCATCTTAATCATGCTCAGTGAGCCCCCATATTTGTACAGACGGATATCCATGCCATCGAAACGCCAAAAACACCACACACTTATTACATGCTATTTGTAGGATAGCAAACGATTACCACAGCGCCGCGTCCTTGTCGAAACGCACCAGCTCTTTGCCTGCGTCTTCAACATCCTTCCTCGCCTTCATGCGCATGTAGAAGATGGGGCAATCCTTGGATGCGCAGATGACTTCACAGTGAACACTGCCCTGGCATCGCTGGCATTGGGTCCAAAGGCGTGAGAAGCGAACTTCAAGCTCACTGACTTTGCCTAGCGTCTTTGTGTAGAGTTCGGCGATACGAGGTCGGCAGTTCTCACAAACGGCGCCGTCCTTCTCATGCGCAGCGGTAAGTGGCTTCTTGCATCCCATGCATGTTGATGTCTTCTTGGCGAATTTCATCAAACCACCCACCGTGGGTGCCGCGACGGTGATGGAACGCGTGTGATCACCAGTGAGTAACGAGGCTGCCTTCTTCTCACCTAGAATAGGCTCGAAGATTCTGCCCAGTGGCTTCGCAAGTTGGTTGTCCAAGTAGTAACGTGTGTCGATGGGCAAGTTGTTTTCGAGGACAAAGAGGGGATCCTCAGACTTCTCGAAGTTCTTCGCACCGGTGGCGGCTCTGATCATAACGTAGGCGACACGATCACCCAGAGCAGGCGCTGAACCGGCGTCGCGCTTCTTCATGCGTTCGGCAAGCTCGACGTGTGCTTGTTTGTTGGCGTAACCACCTGTCCCGTCCTTGTTCTCTTGCTTGGTAAGGGCTTTGGTGATGACAAGGTTAGACATGTCCACCTTGTTCTGCAACAGATCCGCAATGGTCTCCTTGACGAATCTATCCGATGTTAGTGATGAAGTTGCGGAGATGGCGGAATGACTTACTCTTGGGCACCTTCTGGGTCCTGGTCGATCAAGAGCATGCGCAACGAAGTTTCGATGACAGTCTGGACCAGGCGGCAATTATCACGGCGGACCGTCTCAATACCCTTCGTGTCCATCTTGTCCCACTTGTGCGGATTCGTCCAGTAGAGACCAGCGTAACGCTTCTTGTTGATGAGCAGGTAGGGGAAGTAGACCTTCTCGAACTCCAGCTTGATTGGCTTCACGAACTTCGAAGAGACGTAGTCCGCAGCTTCCTCACCTAGCTTCATCGCCTCCGCTAGTTCGGACGTACCAAACTTCACCATGACGGAATCCGTGTCACCGTAGATGACCTCTGCGTCGTGTGTGTATCCGTTCGCGATGTTGTACTTTGCCTCGACTTCCGCCTTGGTCCTTTCAATCATTTGGCGGCCGAAACTTGTGGTACTACTGGCGATGGCAAGACACGGTAGCTTTCCGTTGGTGGCACCTGTCAAACCGTAAACCGAGTTGGCGCTGACCTTCAAAGCTAACTGACGACCGTTGAGCACAGCCTTCTTGAAAGGATCGGTCTCGATCGCCAACTCCTTCTTCGCCCTCTTACGCGCACCCAGCAATTCCTCCAGAATCTCGGTCAAGAGTCCCTTCCGAGTTTTCGCTGTGCAGAACATGTCACCGTTTGGAGTGACAATATAGTCTTCGTCTTTCTTCATCTTGAGTTTCTCTACCGTCTGCTTGTCGAGCCAGGTCGTATAGCACAGGTTGTGGGCCTGCATGATACTGGGGTATAGCGATGCGAAATCGAGGGTCGCGACAGGTTCCTTGTAGTAGCCGCGCTTGGGTTCAATAACGGTCGCACCTTCGTACTGGTCACTGCTGTCGCCTTGGTTCGGGAGGTCCGGAACGATGAGTTGATGGTCGAGTGCTTTACGGAAGAGCTGGCTAATGAAGCGAACTTGTTGTCCACGGGCCAGAAGGTAATTGAAAGGCACACCTGTAACCCTAGCCATTTCCGTGTAGTTGACCAGACACATGAGCTTGTCGAGCAATCGCTGCGGTAGATAGGCATCCTTCAAACAGTATACAGCCAATCGTCGCCGGGAGTTGGAGTCGCCGTTGAACAGCTCTGTGATCATGCTGTGGTGTACATCCTCCTTCTGTTCTTTCAAGAAGTGAGCGCACACCGAGTTGAGCGTGTAACTGCGTAGTTGATGGTCTCGCTGAATGAGCTGTAACAGGTCAAGCTGGAGACGACCGTTGGTGTTGGTAGTCTTTGTGTCTCGGTTTCCTAGTTGTTTACTCGAGAAATTCGAGCTCTCTACCTTGGACTGTACCGTCTTTAGACGGGACCAATACGGGAACTTCTGTAGCTTGAGATGTTTTGCGCGGTCGAGCAGATATGGAAAGTCGAAGTTGTTGATGTTGTAGCCGATGATGACGTCTGGGTCGACCTCTTCTACGAAGTCTCGCCACTTCATCAGCATCTCGCCCTCATCTTGGAATGACAAGACCTGTGTCGCAACGATCGGGCTGACTGTATCCAGACAGAAGACGTTTCTGACGAAGGGTTTTGGTTCTCCATATCTTGTAACGACGTTTGCGATTTGGATGACGGGGTCGACGTTCGCCTCTGGGAAGACACCTTTGCGGCCAGCGCACTCGATATCGAAGGAGAGGATGCGAAGGGGGGCGAGTTTGGCCCATTCGCCTTCAGATTGGTGGGCGATCAAATCGCTGTAGTGTAGCTGTGCCTCAATCTGGCAGTTAGAGTGTCGGTCGCGGGGGCTGATCATTCTGTATTTGCCTGCTGGAACTTCGACCCAGCACATACCGGCGACCTTGGTGTCGATCATAAAGCGCAGTACGTAGGCGATGTTGTCGAATGTGAGGATACCGTCCTCTCTGGCCGGCCAGAGTCGCTTGTAATTGGCATTGCCCTTTTGCACCATCATCCGCACGCGATTGATCATTTTCGGATCAGTCACTGTAATCTTGAGGTATGGGCTCTTCTGATTGCCCTGAAAGCGCAGGATGTTCTCTCTCATGCACATTTGTACCGACGCGATGACAGCTGAGTGTTGGTTGAAGTTCTTCTGGCATTCGCTCTCGAGGAAGACCTTGAACGGTTCGCAGTCTTCTTTGTGGAAGTTAAGGGGTGCGGCAACGTAAAAGTAATGTTGGAAGCCAGTGACGTGGATGAGAACGGAGTGGCCAGTCTATGATATACGGTCAGTCAAAGTCGATGTATGCCATGTGCACGCTTCTCACCTCTGTGACACCAAAGAGCTTGACGGTTGTTTTTCCGCCATTTAACACGCCCTCTTCAGCCTCGATCTGTTGGAAGACAAGGTTTTGTGTCATCTCATTGAAGTCCTCGGGCAAGGCAGGCCGCCGCCATTGCTGGTCTTTCTCTGTGTTGTCTTTCTTCAGCGTCTCCATGTCCTGCGTCATCTTCTCCAGCGTCTCCTCGAACTGGCTCGGGCCCACCTGGCTCGAGTTGAAGGAGCCATTGACCGTCTTGGTTGGCGGTCTACTCTTGTCATTGCCATTCTGGAGCTTCAGCTTCTTGGACGAGTGGGGCGACGGCTGCACATTGGTGCGTGTGCTGGATGTTTCGGCGAGGGCGCGCTTCGCCGGCGCTCTTGTGACGGCTCCTGGCATCTTGAGGATGTGAAGGACAGATACAACACCCAAGCGCGTGATAAGGGAGGATTGGTGGGTGTGTGTTTGTTGTTGGTGGAGTAGATGGAAGGCGCCCAGGGAGAACGCGAAAGCGTGTCGCAGGCGCGAGCGCGTCATCCCTGCTAATTGATTTGCGCCACGCTAGCCGTCGCCTGCCATCCACGCTCCCATCCCAACCCTCTCTGCGCCCTTTTGCATCTCCACGCGCACACGTCGATTTCCAAGGTCCTTCACTGAGCTCATCTCAATAGGTGCATTCAACTTCCTCGCTAGCTCTTCTCTATAATATTGCCTGCAGCGTAATGCCTCATAGTGGACTTGCGTTATGACGCTGTTTCCTTTGAACTCTGACACTCGTCTTCTTCATCAGGATGCGATACTACATTGGGATACCATGCCAAGAACTAGGCATCAGCAGAGTTGTCCGCGAGACTTAAGGCGATGGCGTTTTATGGGTCTTTAGTCATTCGATTCTAGTGTACTAACCCCAGACATAAATCCGCCGTGTTCCCCAACATACTCCACGTAAAGTACAACTGCACTCACACCACTTCTGCTTACCTTCAATATGACCGCGAATAACGACGTCATCATATCACCTTGCGAGACAGAACGAGACTTTAGGCAAGCGCAGCATTGTCTTTCCGAAGCCTTCGGCCACCAAGCCAAAGATGCCCTATGGCGACTGATGACACCCGGCTGGGACACGGAAGAAGGGCAGGCGAAGCAAGCTCAGATCCTGACGAAGAGATGGCAGTCCATCACCACCAACAAAGACGGACAACGCAATGCCCTCTATCTCAAGGCCACCGTGCCTGATCCAGATAATCAGGGCGAAAGACGAGTTGCTGGAATTGCCATCTGGAAGCAGCTGTCGTTCGTGGAAGGCTATGGCGACCCGTTCTACGGCGACATGGAGGAAGCTCTCACTGATTACGACGACCAGAAACGGCGGTTTGCAACGCAAATGTTCAACTCACTATGGAAACGACGTATCGCATACATGCGAGAAGTCGAGAAGTCAGGCCGCAATCCGCCCGCTATCTTCACATTGGACTGCTGTGCTGTTGATCCAGCATACCAGCGTCGCGGCATTGCTGCCAAGCTGGTGGAGGTCGGTCTTGAGGAGGCAAAGAAGAGGGGCAACTTGGAGTGCACAACAGAGGGAAGCACTATGGGAAGACCCGTGTATAGGAGACTGGGGTTCAAGGATGAGGGTACAGGAGATATTCCGTGGGAGGTGGATGCAGAGTTCGAGACCTGGGACAAGCCGCCGAACGTCTTCTTGAGGACATGGGCTTGATCGGCCGCAGTTCCACTGACCATCTAAACTCGTCCCGAATGCAGTACGTAACAGGACATTTCGACATATCAAAGTGACACATATTCATCGCGGCCATCTCCGTCAACGGCTCCATAGCTTCTTGCCGCTTGGGGAAGGTGGGATGCTGGACGCCCGGTAGTGGGGCAGTTCAAGCTACCCCACCAGGGTCAAAACATCCACGATACATCTTGTCTGTCAGACCGAATAGCCTGACAATTCTTTGGCTTCTCTTTCACTCCCAATAACGCGGTTGAAGTGTCAACACACCACCGTAGCACCTTCACTCATACGTTGACGCGTAAAACGCGTCCCATCAGCCAGCATGACGATCGTCGACGTCCACACCCATGTTTACCCTCCCAAATACATGGAGCTACTACGCTCACGAACAACCGTACCATACGTTCGAACATTCCCCGATGCACCAGACTCAGCACGTCTCATCATCCTTCCCGGAGAAGATGACCCTTCAACACCTTCAACCTCCCGCGGCCGCCCTATTGGCTCCGAATACTACGAGATCAAAGAAAAGATAGCCTTCATGGACCTACACAAGATCGACAAGTCCGTCATCTCGTTAGCAAACCCTTGGCTAGATTTCCTCCCAGCAGACGAAGCAGGCGAAGCAGCGAAGAAGATCAACGACGATGTAAACGACCAATGCTCGCAGTACCCCGGTCGACTGTACTTCTTCGGCACCCTCCCACTCTCCGCATCGCCTGAAGTCATAACCGCCGAGATCGAGAGACTAAGCACGCTCAAGTACGCACGCGGTGTCGTCATGGGCACCTCAGGTCTTGGACAAGGGCTCGACGACGAGAACCTCGATCCCGTCTACGCAGCATTGGAGAAGCACCAACAGCTCATCTTCCTCCACCCGCACTACGGTCTACCTACGTCCATCTACGGACCCCGCGCGAGCGAATACGGACACGTTCTACCATTAGCACTTGGCTTCCCCCTGGAGACAACCATTGCGGTGACGAGGATGCTGTTGAGCGGCGTCTGGGATCGGTTCACAAAGCTGAGCGTACTACTGGCACACTCAGGAGGTACAATGCCGTTTTTGGCAGGTCGCATTGAGTCTTGCATCTTGCACGATGGTCACCTGAAGAAGCATGGCAAGACACAGAACAGGAGGGACGTATGGGATATTCTGAAGACGAACATCTACCTGGACGCTGTCATATACTCGGAAGTTGGGTTGAAGGCCGCTCTCGATGCATCAGGGTCGGACCGGTTGTTGTTTGGTAAGCATATGTGCTCGAAATTGTGATACTAGGAGCTAACGATAGCAGGCACTGATCATCCATTCTTCCCGCCGCTCGAAGAAGACGCGAAGGAGTGGCACAGTGTAAACGCGAACTATGGGGCTATCTCGAAAGCCTTTTCGACGGATGACAAGAAAGCACAGGATGTTCTTGGTGGAAATGCGGTGCGGATATTACGGTTGGACTGATAACAGCACTTCACATTCATGCAATGACATCTTGATCTCCATGTCGTGTTTTTCTACTATATATTGCCGTTTCTATTTCCCACGTTCTAAGCATCTAACGTCCTTACTCATCGCACTGAGGTCTACGTGGACGCTGTGACCCCCTGGGGCTTCATGGCCTCTTTTCCTCCTACATTGAATCAACGCTGCCATGTTCGTGACCTCTCGGAGAGGCCTGGCACCCACAAGATACTTTCGGGCCGCAGCGTAGGTAGCGAAGCGCTCATGTAGACCCCCTGGTGGCATGCATATGATAGATACGGTGCTGCGTTGTGTAAATGTTCTCTCAATCTTTATAAAACCCATGGCTTTGTATCGCATGTGGAAGGAATGAAGGAGGAATGATAGCATAAGACTAACACAAGCTACACTCAAGCTGCCTTATCATCGCCCTTGCCATCCGCAGCCTCCACCAACTCATCAAAAATCTGCTTCATCCACTTCTCCTCACTCTTGATCGTCGCACTGACCACCCTAATGACATAAAGTCCACCCACAACCGTGCTTGTCAGGAAGAAATCGCCCTTGCTGTTAATCTTCTCGTAAACCTCCTTCGTCTTCTGATTAACCATCTCTTTGTACTGGGCCTCAGCATCAGTATGGAAGTCATTCTGCAGTGCCTCGTGCGACGGGTCAGCCTGATTCGCCGCCTTCGCCGTATCCGAAGCCATGTTCGGCTTGACCTGGAATGTGACGAGTCCAAACGCCGGCTTAGTAGTCACGCTGAACAACTCCGGCTTCGACAGCAGCAGCTCATGGAAGTACTCTCCCAACTTGATGTGCTTCCTGATGAACTGCCTCAGACCGTTAACCCCATAACTCCTCAACACGAACCAAACCTTGAGACTCCTGAACCTCCGACCGAGCGGAATCTGCCAATCCCTGTAGTCTGTAACGAGGCCTTGTTCGGAATGAGGATTGCGCAGGTAACTTGGCGTGATACTATACGTATCCATCAAATCCCTCCTCTTCTTGACAAAGAAAGCCGAGCAATCAAAGTTGACCAACAACCACTTGTGCAAATTGAAGTTGAACGAGTCAAACGCCGCAATCGGCTTGCACAGATGCTGATACTCGGGACACACGAGCGCAGAGCCCGCATACGCGGCATCGACATGAATCCACAGGTCCGGAAACTCTTTCGCGAGCGCCGCGATACCTTCCAAGTCGTCGGTAGCGCACGTCCCCGTGCTACCAATCGTGACGGTGAAGTAAAACGGTTCCAGCCCCTTTGCACGGCACTCTTCGATGGTTTTACGCAGCGCAGAGGCCGTGACGCTGTAGTTTGATTCCTTGGATGCGGGTACACTGCGGTATCTGGTTCCTGCGATAATAGCCGCTTTCTGCGTACTCGAATGCGCATGCTCGGAACCCAGCGCCACGAGCTTACCCCGGATATCGGCTGCCTTGTCCATCCTCTCTTCGCCTTCAGGCATATCGCCCAGTTTACGGCGGATGAGGCGTTCGCGGGCGGCAACAAGGGCTGTTAGTACGACTTCACTGGCGGTACCTTGGATGATGCCTCCGCCCTCGCCGTCACTGAGAAAGTCTTTCGGGAGAGCGATGAGCTTGGCGATCCAGTCCATGACAACAGTTTCAAGCTCTGTAATCGCGGGCGAGCAGATCCAGTTGAAGGCTGCGGCGTTGAAGGCTCCGCTGTACATGTCGCCTATCATGGCTTCGAAGGACGAGTTGCACGGAAAGAAGGCCATGAATTTGGGGCTTTGCCAGTGGGTTAGACCTGGCATGATGACGCGGTCGATGTCTGCTTGGATCGTCTCCCATGCTTCGCCTTCTTCGGGCGTGGAGACGGGAAGTAGCGGGCGTAGGTAGCCTGGCTTGACGGAGGGGAGGACAGGGCGTTCCTCGAGGGTGTCGTAGTAGGTTGCGACTTGAGGGTAGGTCAATTTACGCTTCTATCCGGTGAGATTGGGAGTACGTACTCTCGTCAATGGCTCCTTTGGCCGCTTCTCGGAATTGTGAAGAATTCATGGCGGGGTAGTGGGATAAGGAGTAATGTGTGCAAGAAGACAAGAAGAAGGCAATTGACTTCTCTAGACTATGGTTTATGAATGTGAATAACTGAGAGTCTCAGGATACGTGGGTATATATTCAATGCTGGCGCAAACGGTCACGTTGCGCTAGTTTAAATGTTTAGGATGCCCGATGTCGCTAATTCCGCGCTAATTGCCTTCTTTGGCAGAGTACGTTTGTGGGCGGAATTTATGCGAATAGTTGTAACACCGCGTAGGGCGTAGGGCGCGGGATGTCTTAGCAAAGCATAGCTATACGTGACGCGATTAGGCGGCCATTTGATGGAGCAAGAAGCCGTAGTGCCGTAGACGAAGGCTGCCATCTGTCGAATGGACCAAAGGCGCAAACGTGGCGATCGCATCGGTGCGGACAGGAGAGACTGACAATTCGGAAATGGCGCCAGATCAAACGTCGAGAGATGCATATCAATCATTGATAACGGGTATACCTATACGCCTCGCTATGATTACAATCCACTGAACACCAGAACAACTTTTGTTCTTCATTAGTATCGCTTGGCCACCTCAACACCAATGTTTTCATCCGCGTTTGCAAAGCCACGCGCCCTAGGCGTAGATTTGCCTGCCACGTCCTGAGGAGCCTCGCCCTTGTACTCCCATCCTCCGTCCTGGGAGAAGAAGTCGACTTCATCGATAATGTCCCAGACGACGTCCTCGGCAATCTGCTCCTTGTATCGTTCGCCAATAGCCCGCAGCTTACGGCCATCGGGAATCTGCTGCTCGTTTGTATCACCATCGACCATCTGGGTATCCTTCTGGCGCTGCTGCACCATCTCTTCAGGCGGACACCAGAAGTCGGGACCGAAGTTGACCTGGGCAACACCACCATTGAATAGTGAGATGGCTGGCAGATATCCTACCATGCCATCGTCGAAGCCTGTTCGCGCACCAGCTTTGATGGCTTCGACTGATGGTATACTAGCAGGAGGAAGGAAGGCGAGGAGGTTCTCGAAAGCGATGCCGACCTCCTCACCGTTCTTGTAGACCTTGATGTGCGAGTGTGGTAGTGATCGTACACTGACGTCTTCGTGATTCGGCGAGGGGTGTATCTTGGGTACGGGACCGCGGTCGTGGTAAGCCTCCACCATCTTTGTGACTTGGTAGTCGAGCTGCTCGAAGTAGAAGTTGCCTTTGTAGGGCACGGGTATGCGATCGCGGATGATGTCGATGGGACGGTCGAATGGGTCTTGGTTACTGACGGTATCGAATCCATCTCCTAGGTCCACGGCTGGGTTGTAGATGCCTTCGACGACCTTGCGATGCATGGAGAGCGACGGCAGCTGAATCTCAAGTCCAATCACATCGCCTTCTTGAACATGCTGATCTATAACATATTCAACAGGCATTGGCTTGCCATGCGGGGGCCTGGCCTTCATGTGCTTGCTCTTTGCGTTCTTGGGGAGCGGCTTGAAGATCTTGGAGGCGCGCGATCGATGTTGCGCCTCGAAGCGCGCGTCGGTGATGCCGTAGCTGTAGCCGTCGAAGCCCACGGGTCCGTCCAACGGCGCTTCTCTCCTTGCCCAACCCATTCTCACGTGGGGACCAGGTTTCGTCTCTCCCGTCTTAGGGTCGATAGGATCCTTTGGGCCGTCTTTGGGTATGCCTCTGAGCACCTTGACCTCATAGTATATCCTGCCTTCTCTCGCGACTACGTTCCCGCGTCCCATGCGCCAGCCCTTCTCCTGCGATACGATTGTCGCGCTGTTATCGAAGTGAAACCATCTGTCGCAGTCTTCGTGGCTCATTCGCGGTCCATACGGCCTGGAGTCGCTCTGCCTGTAGTATTGCTTATGACGGAAGAGCGGGTCGGCGACACAGTGGGTGTACTTGTAGCCCTTCTTGTTCCAGGCGATATCGTGTGGCTTCTTCAGCTCGGTGACGCCATCAGGCGCGTACATGGGGTTCGGCTCATGTGACACCAGCGTGCTGTCTTTTGGCGCTTCATAGTCGGAGGGTCTGGGCTCGGGGATGGAATATCGCATGGGTGAGTCGGCTGAGGGACGCTCTTTCTTGCTAGACTTTGCGCTCGGAGTGGCCTGGCGCGTCGACGCTGAAGCTTCGCGTTTCTTGATCGTCTCACGCTTCTCTCTCTGCTCGCGCGCAGGAGCTTTCGGTCTGGCACGCGCTGCCGCATCGGGATTGGGGTTGAGCGGAGACGACACGGCGGGCGCATTGTCTCCTTCGAGTGGCCGCCGCATTGGAGGCACGAGTGTGGGTGTATTGGAACGCGAAGGGGGGTGTGAGTCGGCCATTGTGAGGGTTGTGGTAGCTGGAGTGGAAAGCGCGACAGCTGCTTGTAGCTGCTATGTTGGAAGACACGACCCTGGACATGCAAGTTGCGGCGCTAGGCAGACCCCACCAAAATTTATCCCGTTCTCGAACTTTTACTACTCACTGCCGCCAACTCTGAAAAACATCTGTACTACAGCCACGACTCTACTAAAACTTCAGAAAAAGACATCGCACCTCTTCTGATCCTCCGCTCGCGACCACATACCCACCATGCCGAAAGCACCCAAATCGCCGGGTGTGCGCGACCAGCGACACAACCCTCTAGCCGAAGAATATGCGCCCTCCGACCCGTGGAAGAACAAGGCGCCGAAGCGACAAAAGCGAAACAAGAGCGACAAGGAAGACGACGAGCAGAAATACGTAGACTCGAAGAGCTCGCGCAAAATCTTGGAAATCGGAAGAGAGCTGGAAGAGGAGGATGCGAGGGAGAACAAGGTCCGGAGACCGCAAGAAGCTAACCCAGCCTTTGACTTCGAGACACGCATGGGCGAGGATGATATGCCAGGAGAGGATTTGATCCAAGGCGAAGATGACGATGAAGCATGGGGCGAGGACGATGAGGAGGTGGAAGAGGTCGAGATCGATGCGAACGATCTGGCGGCATGGAACAAGTTCATACCAACAGACGACAACCCCATCGTATGGCCTGGCGAGGAAGCGCAACAGTCAGGTCCCGGCACAGATCTGGCAGCCCTCATCCTCGAGAAGATCGCTGCGCATGAAGCCGGAGGCGAAGTACAGCAACCAGAGATTCAAGGTGGTGGTGCTCCAGAAGACGCAATCGAACTACCAGCAAAGGTCGTCGAAGGTACAGCATCCTCACTGCAAAATCTCGTAATTCTACTAAGCCTGCACAGTATACTCAAAGATTGGATTAATTCTGAGCCGCTACAAGAGCGGCAAGCTGCCCAAGCCCTTCAAGATCCTGCCCACGATCCCCGCCTGGGAAACGCTCGTCGCCATCACACGTCCTGACGACTGGACACCCAACGCCACCTTCGCTGCGACCCGAATCTTCATCTCCAGAGACCCACGAACGGCGCAGACCTTCCTCAACACCATACTGCTACCTTTGGTACAACAGAACATCCGAGAGACACACAAGCTCAATGTGCATCTGTACAACGCGCTGAAGAAGGCGCTCTACAAGCCCAGCGCCTTCTTCAAGGGTGTCGTTTTCCCCATGCTCACGGACGTCACCTGCACACAGCGCGACGCCACGATCGTGGCATCCGTTGTGGCCAAGGTCTCCGTCCCCGTCCTACACTCCGCAGCCGCCCTCCACCGTCTGTGTGAAATCGCCGCCGAGCAAATGTCGTCTGACCCCGATGCCGCCGGCCCCTGCAACATCTTCATCAAGACCCTTCTCGAGAAGAAGTACGCCCTACCCTTCAAGGTCATCGACGCGCTCGTCTTCCACTTCCTGCGCTTCCGCGGCGTGGGCGCCAGCAGTGCCGACGCCATGGACACCGAGTCTGTGGCTGGCGACCTTGGCAACACCGGCAAACTGCCTGTAATCTGGCATCAGTGCTTGCTTGCCTTTGCGCAAAGATACAGGAACGACATCACCGAGGACCAACGAGAGGCGCTGCTTGACTTGCTGCTCACAAGAGGTCACAGGAGCATTAGCGCGGAGGTACGAAGGGAATTGCTTCAAGGAAGGGGACGGGGTGTCATGATCGAGCCTCCGGCTGTAGGCATCGATGGCGACGACACGATGATGATGGCTGTTGATGCATGAGCCTGAGAACAGCCAGTCCAGACGTTATGATGATGAGCATTTATCGGCGTTACTAGACAGGAACATTTGCATCATGTTTCTTTGGGGTTCAATTGATACTGAATATACCCATATCCACACGTAACCCCATGACCACCATATTACTTTGTCTTTCGTCTATTCACTCTTCACCTCAGCTTTTCCCTTGTAGAAAGCAACATAACCCTTGATATTGTTCATGCTTTCCAATGGCTCCGGGTAGTACCACGCTGCATCTTTTACTTCCGTCTTGTTGGCTGTGACGGTGTAGTAGCTTGCGTCCCCCTTATAAGGGCAGTGCGTCTTGGTTGAAGTGGGGCTGAAGTGGTTGCTCTTAATGGTGTCGGGTGGGAACTGGCATGGATCAGATGGATTGAAGGGGCTTATTATGGGCAAGAAAGGAGGAGGGTTGATTACGTAGATGTTTCCGTCGACGACTTCGTAGGAGTCGGTCTCGGCTACTAGGATGCCGTTTACGGTTGCGGTTGCGTGGGGCATGGTTTATATAGATTTCAGTGTTTGGAGAAAGGAATGGTATTAGATTCACGGGTAGTTCCTGAATACTGGAAAGTTTAGAGAGATGAGTATCGTTGTACTGTTGTGTAGTGGACTACTAGGTGAGGGGGATGTCTATCGATAAGCAAAGGAGCGGGGTGAATGCATGTCATCATCATTCCAAGATTGTCTCTTGTAAATTGAGCTTACTGTTCGCGATCCAGAATGACATTCTTCCGGTCCCGAGCTACATATTCACAAGATGTTTTTTAGAGGGTCTGATTTTGTTGTATGCTTAGAAGAGCGCACCTGTTGAGCAAGTCCGGTATAAGCGATTAGCGAAATCGATTAGAGCATGCAGCTAAGTGCATACTATGTGTATGTGTAACGGAGCACTAGAATCTCAAGATGAGTTCAGGGAAGCATGCATGGATCATGCTGGCGAAATAGCTCCTGCCAAGTCCACAAGCAGCGTAGGTAGCATTCAACATTTCGTGGGGCAGGAACGGATGGTCATGTCCAGCACTGAGATGGCAAATATTAAAACACGAATTTAGATATCCCTCGTTTCACGTCCTGCCAGATCCTGTATTTGAGTCATCCATAGGGTGCACGGGTGGCGCGTGTCGTTTCGGGCGATGTAGGATGATGACTATTTACCACAACCCTGGGCAGGCGGGTCCGCAAAACCAGGAATTCCGTCGGTCTACGAGGCCAGTATGCAGGTCGCTGAGGCTCAGGGACATGCGGCTCGGCTAAAAGGCACTTGAAGCCACCATGTGTGCGTCCGCGGTACCGGATGCGGGTGCTCACTGCAAAAGTGCATGCCGATGGCTGGCCACCGGAGTCGGTGCCGAGCCGAGGAATGGCGAGGCCATAACTTGTTGAGCTGAGCAATGGGGGCGCAAGGGATTGAGAATGCAATGAGGCATTTTGCACTCTATGTGATGATGTGTATGACTGGACGTGGAGGTGAAGGTTTGGGTGCAGCCACAAGAGCATCAGCACAATCCCAACGAAAGCGTGGGAGTAGCGGGTGATCGGCCTCGAGAACTAATGGTAGCTGTCCTGGCGCTCGAAATAATTCGCGTGTGGGCGTGGGCAGGGCAGGGCGGGCTTTAATTGGAACAAGGCTTATCTTTCGGCGCAGAAGCAAAGACCCCTGCGAGCGAGGCGTCTTGGTAGGGTGTTCGTCATCGCTAAGAAAAAGTTGACTCCCGCGCTCCGACGAGACATCCTCACCATCCCTTCGCTCGCCTCCCTACCACCCGCACCCAGCCATTGACTCCGTGAAGCTCTCCCGCAGCTTCCACCATTGCAATGGCACCCAACATGAGGCCGCTCGCCGCTGCCAATGTGCTTTCGCAGGTTCAGCTGGCTGGACGCAGGACCTTCACCACCCAGCGCCCGTCGCTTATCGCCAACAGAGCGCGCTGGACGCCCCGGCCCACGCAGTACCAGATTGCCCTCCGCCAGTCTGTCCGCCAGCAGTCGAGCAGCGCGCCCAAGCCCAAGGCCAAGAGGTTCCGCCTCCTGCGCTGGACCTGGCGCCTCACGTACCTCTCTGCCATCGCCGGCCTGGGATACGTCGGATACGGCATCTACGAGACTCGCAACCCCGCCGACCAGCCGCCGCCTGACCCAAGCAAGAAGACGCTCGTCGTCCTCGGTGAGTAGCGACGAATGACCCAGCACGCATCGAATGCATCTGACACGCGACAGGTACCGGCTGGGGCTCCGTCTCTCTGCTGAAGAAGCTCGACACGGAAAACTACAATGTCATCGTCGTCTCCCCGCGCAACTACTTCCTCTTCACCCCCCTCCTGCCCTCATGCACTGTCGGCACCATCGAGCACCGCTCCATCATGGAGCCCATCCGCAACTTCTTGCGCCACAAGAAGGCCCAGGTCAAATACTACGAAGCCGAAGCCACCAAGATCGACTACGAGAAGAAGGTCGTCTACATCAGCGACGACTCCGACATCAAGGGCGACGTCTCCCAGACCGAGGTGCCCTTTGACATGCTCGTCGTTGGTGTTGGTGCTGAGAACGCCACTTTCGGTGCGTCATCCGCCCATTCTCACCCGAACTCAGCTAACATGGAACAGGTATCCCCGGTGTTAAGGAAAACGGTCTCTTCCTGAAGGAGGTCGGCGACGCCCAGCGCATCCGAAACCGTATCATGGACTGCTGCGAGACTGCTACCTTCAAGGACCAGTCTGACGAGGAGAAGAAGCGCCTGCTGCACATGGTCGTTGTCGGAGGTGGACCTACCGGTGTCGAGTTTGCCGGTGAACTTCAGGACTTCTTCCACTCCGATCTGAAGAAGTGGCTTCCCGAGATCCAGGATAACTTCCACGTCACCCTCGTCGAGGCCCTCCCCAATGTCCTTCCCATGTTCTCCAAGCAGCTCATCGACTACACCGAGAAGACTTTCAAGGAGGAGACCATCACCATCCGCACAAAGACCATGGTCAAGAACGTCACACCCAAGTTCATCGAGGCTGAGTCGACTGGCCCCGACGGCAAGAAGCAGCTCGAGAAGATCCCCTATGGTCTCCTTGTCTGGGCCACCGGTAACGCTCTCCGACCCATCGTCAAGGACCTCATCAACCAGATCCCCGCACAGAAGGACTCCCGCCGCGGTCTCGCCGTAAATGAGTACCTCGTCGTCAAGGGTACTGAGAACGTATGGGCCGTCGGTGACTGCGCTGTTGCCAACTACGCTCCCACTGCCCAGGTCGCTGCTCAGGAAGGTGCTTTCCTCGCCCGCATGTTCAACAACATGGCCAAGACCTCCGAGATTGAGGGTGAGCTTGCTGAGCTCTCCGTCGCCCAGGAGAAGGCACCCGGCAAGGAGGCCCGTGACAAGGTCTTCGGCGAGATCAAGGCTCTGCAGCAGAGGCTGAGGAGGATCAAATCCATCGGTCCCTTTGAGTACTCTCACCAGGGTTCGCTCGCCTACATTGGTTCTGAGAAGGCCGTTGCCGACATCTCGTGGTTCTCCGGCAACATCGCTTCCGGTGGTACCATCACCTACATCTTCTGGCGCTCCGCCTACCTCAGCATGTGCTTCAGCACCCGCAACAGGATATTGGTCATGCTCGACTGGGCCAAGGCCAAGTGCTTCGGTCGCGATGTCTCGCGTGTCTAAACGCCTCTCCCTCCAAATGGCGTTACCCCTTCCCATCCTTTTCTAGAGATTCCCTAAAAGTTCGACTTCCTGAAGGGCAAGCGCTTATCCACGGCGTTTCCTATGTACACCACACACACACACACCTCCCGGCTTCTTCTGTACGATTACTCGTCACGTTTTGTATAAGGGTGTGATACCTCGCAGCAGTAGGGCGGCTCTTCGGGTTTTCGGTCTGGTCACATGTTCTTGTTACTAGTCGAGCTCGGCGTTTTGGTGCTCTTTTTTCCCTTTTGCCAGAGTCAGAGGCGGGTTAGACTTGGTTGCTTTCTTTGGACAATCGTAGATAGATAGGAACCTTTATGAAACAGCGGAAGATCAACTGCAGTATTACTACGTTACAGCTATTGTTCTCTACCATCTATCTGAACACTGGCTTCGTGTTAGCTCGGTGATTGTTTTGCAAGCCGCTTGTGAAGTAGAATTGTTGTGGTAAGAATATTGATCATTTCGTAAGCTAATATGTATAAGCTTTAAGGCCGAAGTTCCCAAACGCCCATCGTAGATGCAAGATGCCACGCACTCAAGAAATCCATCGATCGCCGCAAATGCAACGAATCCACTACCTAGGACTACCCACGGCGCCATAGCTCCTCGGACTTGCATGTCTGCTCGTCCCCAGAAGTGCCCTCGCCTCATCCAATGCGCTGCCCCTACCCTTGATGGGAATACTCTTGCTCGAACTACTTCCAGCTGTACTAGCCGGACTGGTATCCCTCGGAGAATCCATCGGCGTATTCGCACGGCTCACATTCGGCGTAGCAGCTACACTGACAGCAGGAGCCCATCCCCTCATCCACCCGCTCACACGACGCCAATGCATACTCCTGCGCACCAGCTTACCGTGGTCGTCGACGGTGATGATGACTTCGTCGTCGCGGGGCGTTGGCGATCGGCCCCGGGGTGTGGCGTCGCCAAAATGCCAGAATTGCAGACCGACTGCTGCGTCCATGAGGAGCACGCCTGCTGCGCCAAGGAAGAAGGGTGCGGCGCGTAGGACCCAGTCTGCTCTTACACTACCTTGGGGGTCGACCCAGCCGGAGCCTTCGCCTGGCGCGTAGTCATACCATGCGCAGGGGTTTGTAAGGAGAGAACTCGAGTAGAAGAGGTTACCGAAGAAGGCTGCTGCGAAGAGGGTGGGAGACAGACCGGCTGTCGATTTGCGGACCTGGTTCATGTAGAGTTGGGGGAGGCGCGATCCGAGGTATAGGAACGTGCTCATCCATGAGAAGACTTTGCCGGCGGTTTCCGAGGCACTGGGCGAGCTGGTCGCGGTAGTTGTGTAAGCGGAAAGGCTGCGAGCGCGGGCGAGGCCTGGCGCGAAAGGACTTATCGGTGTTGCGGTAGTAGGGTTGGCGAGTACTGCGATCATGAGAGTGATGTATAGTACGGTCTTGGGCGAGGGCATAGGTGAGCTCGAGGCTGCTATGCGCACCTTGGGGTTGGGTGATGCGCCTGACGGAGATGTACTCTGCCATGATTCCTTCGTAGGCATGGGCGAGCGCGCAAAGTTGGGTATCTTAAAGGTTTCCTTCGCGTTCGAGCGCGGTACGTCTTTGGCCGCGCTGTCCTGTGTAATGTTCTTCCTATCGCTTGAATCTTGCGGTGACTTTGGCGGGCTAGACGCGTTGTTCGTACCGCCTATGCTCATCCCATCCAGAACCTGATGCATGGCAGAGCCTCCACCACCTGAACCGCTGCCAGCTGAGCTGCTCCATCGGCCCCAGATCGGCCTCAGCGGCCGTCCGTGGTGCAACAGCTCGTACCACACCCACTGGCCACACAGGCAGCAGTCAACGAAGACGTAGTAGCCTGCGATTATGACTTGCCATGACGCCTGCCCGGTGAACAGGCAGCCCAGCAGGTTCGTCACATCACCCAGGAGCCATTCCGTCAAAAAGAACGCGCTCAGTCCAGATGTTGACTTCAGCTTATGGTTCTTGTATATTTGTGGTAGCTGTGCGAACAGCCATGATATGATGCTGCACGTACCGAGCAATGTCGAGACGAGCGCGAGGTTCGTAGGTACGCAGGTGTGCAATGCCGCCGAGAGATGATAGAGGAACTCGTTCGCAGGTTCGCAGGTCGGTGGTAATGTGGGTTTAGCTATGTGTAGGGGGGATAGGTATGGAGGCATGGTGCCATAGGTCGAATTCGAGGGTTCGATGGGAAGGAACGACGCAGCTTCCTGGACAGTGACTGCCGTAGAGATTCAACCGGAACTCCAACGCGCGTGGTCCCGGATGCTTCTTGCTTCTTCCTCACGTCTCGGTAGCGCAGGCTGGGTGGTCAGGCGCTGATTCGGGCTCTTGGTACAGCCACAGAGGCGTGGATGCAACCTCGTATACGACGCACGCGTAACGTCGGTGTCAGAATTGAAGTACAGGCCGAGCGACCGCCCTTCAAGAGATATGTATAAGTTGTCGCGTGAGAGTCGCTGTCCCAAAGCTCGGCGCTGTGACGTCGTTGAACCGGTCAGTTGCTGATAAGACTCGGCGTGCAGAAACGGAGGTTATGACAGCCACGAGAAGCGCGGGATGCAGGCAATGGAAGAGGAAGAGTAGAAGAAAAGACACGAGACGTCAGAGCAGTGTGACAGAAGACATACAGCAGCTCACGGCCGTCAACAGTCATCCACCCCAGCCAACCGCAGGCTCCCAAAAGGAAGCATCTCCACATGCTAGAGGATCCCCCGGCGGGCTCGCATGACCGATGCTAGGCCAAGCGATATCCGTTGCGGCTAGGCCTGCCATGACGGGAGCAGTGTGACTTGGGCGGGTGGGATGCTATGAGTGATTGATAAGAGTTGCTTATCTCGAGGGCAAGGGCGTGCACGCGCATTATGCTAGCGCACATGTCTCCGAGCTGCTTGCCGCCGTTCGCGGGCCTTGGCGGCGACCATCAGGCTGGCACGTCACGCGGAAGGGACACCGGCTGGATCTCGCAGCACCAATCTGGCATCGCGAGATCTACGCACATCACAGATCGATCAACTTCAATATGGGGTCGGCCTATAGCGCGCCAGCTGTAATGACGATGCATGCCTATCTGCCCCTCCTCTCCGCCATCGGATGGGTCCGTCGCTTCGGCCTCCAAGCCTCAACTAATACACTGCACTAAGATCTGCCTCGAAACGTAACAGAAACCCACCATGAGTGAGGCTGGACCTGAGGGCATCGTGGTGTCTCCAGCTTCTGGAACCTGCATATCGATAAGAGCGAACCAGACTGGAGTGTTACCGAGACCACAATGTGATACGAAGTTTAATTATCATTATAGGAAGTAATCAACGTGCACATCGCTGAGATGTCCGCATCAAGGTAAGTATCGCGACCTGCGACCCCCAATATCTAAACCACGTCACCGCCATTCTCGACCCTGGCGTACCTTCCCTCCTTCTGCGCCTTCCACCTTGGACTGCGATCCGTCAGCACGACTCAGCATGCGACGGCCGAGTGCACCTACTAGAAGAAGTTCCTGAAGGCCACAATACCCGCTGTCATGGCCGCGTATCCTCCAAGCAGCCTCGACCAGTTGCCTTCCTGTCCGACGGTCAACGCAACGAGGTCATATACCAAGCAGCCGCCGAAGATCCAGTCGCTCATGCTTGCCGCCGCAGCGAAGCCAACACCGGTAGCCACCTGCACCAGCGAACTGGGCTCTACACCTACAAAGTAGGCTGCAGATGTGTTGTGAAGGAGATCCAGTACACCGATACCCGCGAATGTCTTCGAGACAATGTGGGTGAGGAGGTTGGGTGTTGATCGCGTGTCGAGCGGCTCAAGCGCTGTAGCGATGTAACCGACTTGTGCCAGTGTGTTGATGATGACGAAGATGTTCGATGTCTCTAGGTTGTTCGAGTTCCAGAAGAACATCCAAGCTGTCGCATACGTCAGTATACATCCTACACCACCACGTGGTACTTCAATAATACGTACTTCCAATGCAAAAGTTGCCCAGACTGTAAACCCAAGCAAACTTGTTCATCATCGCACACTCTTGCGCATTACCGTCTTGCTTCCATAGCTTCCACAACCAGACCAGCTGGAAGATTTGCTGTGGGAAGAAGAATGCGCCAATGAAGTATGGGTACGGGCTGAAAGCGGCAAGATTCCGGTTATGGATATCCATCATGTTGGGCGACGAGAAGATGCCATATTGTTGCAGAGCAAAGTCGTAGATGAAGGATGCCGGCGCAAGGTAGCGCACCGTGGATTGTGTGTTGCCCATACTGGAGGCTGTGATGGGGTTCGAAGTTGTAGTGGGAATGCACGTAGTGTCACGTGTACGAATGCGATGCAGCGAAATGGGATTGTAGATGTAGGATGAGATTCAGCAAGAAATCGTGGTATGCCATTGTCTTTGTACGGTCTCGCGTCGCGTCTGTCGTCAATCGAAGACGTCATCCCATAATACGCGATCTCAGGGTCCAGCTCCCGATGCAGCACGAACATCATCGCCATCATCGTGATGTCGGTACACGGCGGAACATTTCTCTCCGACTGCTAGCAAACCAACAACTGCAGCCGCTTGGACATTTCGTATTGTCTCGGCTTCGGAGTTCCTCTGTCAGAATCTCCGACAATCCTTGTGTTGTAAATACAAAATCTTCATTCTCTTGCTCAGCTAGTGTTTACCCATTCTAATCCATTTCGTTCGCTCAAAAGCCGCAGATAGTTCGCCCTATACGCCTTGCGCCAGGGCTTGTTGTGCGTCGCGTATACGCGTTGCAGCTTTGGTGTTTTAGCTCTCCAATCGCCCTGGAAAAAGTCGTCTAGCAACGGTATCAATTCCTTCGGGCTCCCGAACTCGAGAAGATCATCATGGACCAAGCACAGCTCCTGCAAGCTCGATGGCATGATTTCCTCGATTCGGGGCCAAAGGGAAGCCTCACCGCCTAGTAACATGACAGGCGAGACGTGGAGAGAGGAGAGAACGGGATAGTCCCGAAAATCGTATTTCCCGTAGACGTTCACGGGCCCTGGCGAATGCGTTTGACAGAAGAATCGAAAATGAACCAAAGTGCTCTTAACACTGTTTAGGGCGGCGCTGAGCGATGCGCGATCCACGGTGATGAACGCCTCATCCCAAGCCCAGTATTCGTAGTCCAAAATCTTCAGAGCTGGTGTGCAGGACAACAGTTTAGCGAGTGTGTTTGGTTTCACGGAAGACTCGCCAAGTCTCAACGTCGTTAACGTTGAGCAGACAGGTAGAGATGTTGCTTTCTGGAAACCTGCCTGGGCAATCTCATCCATTAAGCTCATTTCAATCTTCTGGATGTTCGGACACCAAAAGAAAGCCCAATATCCCCTCCAATCCAAATGTGGGTGTAGATGCTTGATCCGACTCCACCTATGCCACCGATGATCCTCCTTAACATAACCGCTATACCCACGGCCGAGATGAATGTTTCGAAGCTTGCGACAACCGAGAGCTTGTGACTCCGCACCACCAGAGCGCAGCTTCCACAAGATTTCAGGGATGTACACTACGTCGCTGCCGATGTGAAACCCTAGATCGAGTGAGACAAGATTGGGACACATCCACACGAGCAGCGCTATGGTAGCATCCAAATCGTACATTAGGATAGCTTCATACCAAGAACGGCCGCTGACTGCAAAAGCATCTCCGCGTCCTTTATGGTGCCACTCCAACCCTGCATTCCGTACGGCGTTCAGGGCCAGTCGCTGTTTCGCGTCCGTCCAAGTCGGGGCAGCTTTCGGTTTCCGCTTCTCCAAAGGCTCCCGTCTGCGTGGATCACGAAACCACTCGCCCCAACAACCCCCAAGCCCGGTAGTCTGCAGTCTGAGACTAGTGATCGATTGCGCGTAGGCGGGCTTCGCCAGGATTGTCTGCAGGAGAAAGTTGGGCCGGAAAACTCGGCGTTGCCACGCATGGTAATCAGGATGACTCAGCGGGCGAGTTGCATGACCGGCCTGCCATTGCATGTTGATGTTGCTATATAGATGCGCTATGGTCTTTGCGTGCAGGGCTTTGCAGGTACGAGAAAGGTTCGAGACGTCTTCGGACGGAGGAAGATAGCTGAGTACGATTTCGAGAAGCTCCTGTGGAAGCTCGAACAGCGGAGATGCGCACTTCGGGAACGACATGTTGAGTTGTTGGTAGTGCTGGATAGGTCTGAACCAGGACCAGGCCGCAGTCTGAGTCAAAGGTGCACTCTGTTGTTTCTGAGACGAGATGGCGGTATGAGGAAGCTGCGTCTCACAAGCTCGGAGTTAAGCATCGAGGTATCCACTTTAACGCCGAGGTTCGCAACTTACAACCTCACAGGTCTTCAATTCTCGCGTCTCTTTCACGACAACATCGCATCAACAGCGGATGCACAAACAACTCATACATCACCAGGGAGGGTGTCAGGTCATAATCATGTTGTCAATCTCAATAGTTTAGTGCTTCGAATTCCTCGCTATCTATCCAGCGACATCAGTCGACCTTGCAATCCGGCCCAGTATGCTGCAACCCGTCCCCAACGCTACCACATACATCAGGACCAACTATGAGGCCCGGCAAGCTTCAGTGAGCTTCCGGGTGACTAAAGATACCGACGGGAGCCTATGTAGCTGCTAAAAGGTATGTTAGCATTTTGTACAATACATGTCTGGGGGTATGTCTACCTCAAACCTGTGTCCGCGCTTGACGTCTCTTTGGGTTTTTCTTAGGTCGCCTCGTCAGGTCTCCACTCCAGAATGCAGGGCGGGCCTTCTTGCTCTCGACATTCTCAGTTGATGCGACCTCGGACTGCGAGAGACTACGCTTGTGGCCTCTCGGCTCGTCGTCGGTGGGAGTAGGATTAGCTGCAGGCGGAACGATGGTCTCATCCGATGGCTCGTCAGTGGGGACAGCGATATCAGCTTCAGACGTAACAGTGGTTCCATCCAAGGGCTCGTCGTTGGGGAAAGTAGTCTCGACTGCAGGCGCAACAACGGCTCCGCTCCATTGCGGGACGGTAAGCCCGGAAACGAAATACTGGTACTTGAGGTTGGCAATCTCTGCTTTGAGAACCTGGACCTGCGCCTGAGCTTCGATACAGGGGCCGTAATAGTCGTCGTAGTACTCAGGGGCCTCTTTCGGCTTGTCTTCGATATATTGGACGTTTGTGGCGTCCGAGTCGCCGGGGTCGATCTCTGCGATTTTCTCTTTCGCTTCCTCAAGATCTGCCTCCAACTCTTCGATCCGAAACTTGCGGGACTTGGACTTCTTGTGGTAATGCGCGATTGCCAGATCTTTGGCGGCCATCTTCAATTTCATATCGGCGAGCTGCTGGACGAGATCTGCGACGGAAGACATCTTGATATGGGCTCGTTGCGGGCGGGCGAGTGGCTGCAGGAAAGTTGCTGATGTGCGTTGGGTGGGATAAGTAGGCCTTGAAGAGGAGGATAGTAGGAAATAAGTAGATTTGTTTGAAACAAATACGACTTTGAAAAGGTGAGTGCGTGGAATATAGTCAGTGCGTATTTTCGCGATAATTTACGACGTCACTCAGGTAAACCAAACGGCCTTATCAGCGAATGATACAACGAGGTGGGAAGGAGAGGCCAATCAAACGCTCAAATACACCGACACCTGACCGTATGCTTTGCTGCCTACCCCTTCAGGGCTCTATTGGCGCTACCGACACCGAAAAAGGCAGTATCTCTACACGCTCCGCTCGACAAATGATCCATTTCTATTTGCTCAGCAACGATAAGCTCGATTTTGACTTGGGTGAGTCGTCACATATCCAGCAATCGCCGTCCGTGTCTTTCACTGACGTATCCGTAACGAGCTAGATCTGCCAAGGAACACACAAACTCTACAACTCCGCGCTTCATACTCTGTCACCACTACAGCCATCGCTATCTATCTTCTCACCTAAGGCTACATACTGCTCCACAAGCGCGACACGTCGTCACCTGCGATTCACGATGTCTTCTACCAAGCCTGACAACACCCCTACCGACAGCGACGACGGTACAGATACCACAACCCTTCCATTCTTCGGTCCGCCCACATTCAACGAGATTCGCGATCAGCTCAAAGCACAACTTTCAGAAAAAGGAAAGGATCATCTCGTCTTCGTTGCCGATTCCGCCAAACTCGAACACGACTGCCAAGCTGCGCTCGCGATCAACGCCGACCCCTCCACTCTCCATCATCATGAGGAACTCAAGCAAGCGCACCGGGATCTTCACCAGCGATTCCTCAGAGAGTGGATCGAGCTTTTGGAACAAAGTTGCGACATGGACAGAGAGGCGATAGCTCGTGTAGCGGAGGAGAAAGCTGGTCTAGTGGAGGGGATACAGAAAGAGAAGGCTGTAAAGAAGGAGTGGATGGCAACAACAGAGGCAGCAAAGAAGAGGAAGGAGGAGAGAGCGAGAGTCAAGGAAGAAAAGGCAAGAGCCAAGGAGGAAAGGAAGAAAGCAAGGCGCGAGGAGATAGCGATGATTGAGGAGCAAACAGCGAGATATTTAGAGCAGGCGAAAGAAGCAGAGAAGAAAACAGCAGTGTTTAAACGGATGAAAGCTGTTCTGAGGGTTGAGTCGGAGGCCCAGAAGATCGAGCGCGATGTTCAAGAAGCCAGGGAAGCTAAGCAAAACGCGGAAATTAGGAAGATCAAGGCGGAAACAAGGACGATCAAGAATGAGCTCTTAGAAATCTACTTGTACAGGTGGATTGAAGACCTTGACTAGTCAACTCGTGTATCTGAACGTTGCCTAGTAGGGAAAGAGTTGGCGATAAACGCTTCTTCACAAGATATTGTAGGCATACGTACAGAAAGGACCGATGATCGAACAGTTCATTCAATGAAATCGCTCGAGAATTGTTACGGTCACCCAACTCAACCAAGAGGGAAAACGCATGGGAGTGAGATAAGTCAGTATCGGCCTACAGGGCAACCATCGGCCAATGCTTGCTCAATGTGTTGTGATGTCTGCGTCCAGTGCCCTGTTGATGTAGAGTAAGACGTCGAGACTTGCCAGGTGCGGGCGGAGAAGACATAGGAAGGCTTCCAAAATTGCCCCGGTGCTTGAAGTTTGAGGCTAGCGTTGGCGCGGCGCTAATGCATCAATTATCCGTCGGTTTTTGCGGCGCCCAGGTTCTCTGCGCTTTAACCATCTTCTGCAACATGGAGCTACCATCGAGAACCGAGGAACGCGCTCGACAGCGAGTTTCGGCAGCCTGTGATGCATGCCGTACGAGGAAAGTTAAAGTACGCTAATGTGGTCCAATGCAGCTCGTATCCTGACGGCACACAGTGCGTTGCACCAATCGGCGAATCCAAATGCTCTGTCTGTTCTGAGCTCAACATCGAGTGTACGAGCATGCGATCACGGAAAAAGAGAGGCCCAAAAAATCGATATATCCAATCATTACGTGCGCGGCTGGATCGCAACGACACTTTGGCAACACCGAGCGCACCGAGCGCACCGAGCGCACCGAGCGCACCGAGCGCACCTGAGCAAGCCCGCCTGGATCTCATAGCACCATATGCGATCATCCACCAGGTCATGACTGACTGGTTCGAATGGATCCATCCGGTGGCACCGCTTCTTCATCATGACCTATTTATGCAAAGATTATCCGACGACAACGGCTCGACGCCATTCTTCTTACTGGTACTGTCGATATGTGCGGCCACCGTGGCCAGCGTTCGTAGACGGCGCCATCTGTACGGCAGTATGTCAGTAGAAGCGTGCCTGGAACTCGCCGAGCGTTTCGGGATCTGGAGCTTGACCAACAAGATCACATTAGAAAGAGCACTGGCATTGTACAACTTATCCATTGCCGTTAGCCATGAGCATGGCCTCGGTTCGCCGCTCACGTATCGGCTGTGTGCTGAAAGTTCGATCAGCGTCAAGTATCTCATCCATGAGAGTTTCGAGCAGATGTCATTCATGGATCAGCAAACTTTGAAGCGCCTCTATTGGTTGATCTATGCCAACCAGTGCACCTGCGATATGCATGGCAGACAATTACTGATCCTTCGTCATGCGCATGAGGCTTTTGGCCATCTACTTCCATTGGAGATCACCGATGAACAGCTACTAAGCGGCGCTGATGCAGGCTCAATGGAAAGCGCGGGGTCATCCGTCTCCTATATCCCCGGGCTCAACGCACTCTCCAGGCTATTCATGATCTGGCATTCCAGCCAAGCAATCACCACTCAATCCATGGACAATCTATACGACCAAATTATGCAAGCTCAGCGATTGCTTGAGGACCTGCCATCTGAGCTTACATGGCAACCGCCGCATCTGGGACAGTTCGCTTTCAACGTGCAGAAGGTCAATCTCAAGGTTACGCAACTGCACATCCGCTCAAATTTGCTAGAGCAGATGAACGCATTAGCTCAAGACCAGCACATGCGGGTCACTCCGGATGCTATCTTCAACGAGCGACATCGCGTGGTGAAGGAATTGCTCGACGTCCTATACAACATGCCAGAAGAGGTGTTTGACGCTAATGGATATAGCATTGTGCCGAAGATCAGAGATATAGGCGGCGCACTTCTTGATGAACTTCGAACCGGGTCTCAAGGGCCCAGTCTTCAGGCGAGTATCAATTTGGACAAGCTGCTAGCAAAGCTGGATAGTCTTGATCAGCGGATCACGGTGCAAGCAGCGATTGCCTGAGTCCAACCGCACCAGGGGTGACTAGAGTTCGTGTCGCATACATACTAGCAGATCGATTCTATTCGAATATCCACACTGTAGTTCATCCTCCACAGGCCACCGAGGCTCATTTATACTCATTCATGCTCCCGATGACGTCTTTTTAGCGCTGCGACAAGAGTACAATGATAGTAATACTTGAGGTAAACACCGCCCAGACTACCCAACGAACAGCCGGCTGACAACCTATCTACGGAGCTACATGAGCGCGCCGCTGACTATACGGCTCCCCGGACGTTTCTTGAGGCATTACCGGCCTACTCAAGAGTTTAAGATTGTGGCACCGTTGATTCAACGTAAGTGGTGAATGGGTTCTGAGTGTTATAGAGATTGAATGAAAACATACATAATGCAGCACCATATCTATCATATGCATGCCACGAGGTTCTATCAATAGTCATTCTCGCTCTCTTCGAGACTGTAGGCCCAACACTCAGCAATGCACGTATTGGCAGGGATAGTCACTACGATGGGGAAGCCTCCATAGTCTGGCTGCTCATTCGGCATGATGAGGAACTTGCCGCTTCTCGTCTCATCGCCCCCCAGAATCTTCAGTGTTGACAGCTCGCATGTCTCAGGGTCAACCTCCTTCTCTTCTGCATGCAGAATGCCCGTGAAAGTTGACGTGGGATTAGTACTCTTGAACGAGATACTGAAGCCCCATCCGACACAAAGGAACTTGCCTTCGCCTTGGTGCATGACCATACCCGCTCCAGGTCCCAGCTTACCGAAGACGAAGGCACGTTCTACAACAACTTCGAAGTCACCCATGATCTTTGTTTGCGGCTTCTCGCTGCTCTTCTGGCCATCGACGAACTCGTCGAAGAAGAACCCCATCATGTCTTCAGGGCGGTTTGCCTGTGCTTCGAGAATCTGCTTTCGCAGTGAATGCATTAGGCCATAGGGCTTTGTGAAAGCGCTTTCGGATGCCAGGAGAGAGTCGATACCGAACGGAGAGCAGCCTAGTGCAAGAAAATTGGCGTACGCGCTCCAGATACGTCGTGCACCCTTCTCTTCACGCCTTTGTTCCGGGATGAACAACGGCTGACCACCATGTCGATAGTTCTGGCATGTCATATCATAGTCGTGGAAGTACAGGTCTGGGCCGAGGAAATCAAGGCTAGGCGCGTTGAAGGAGTACACATCCATTGTGTGGGGCACTGGTCCGCCAGATGGATAGACACCAGGTCTGTGGCCTCCGCCAACCATCACTGATGTATCGGTCAAGTCCAGTTCAGCCGGGTTATCGAGGTTCAGCCAGGCATTGGCGTACATGGGGATCGGATATTCCGCTTTGCCGGCAGCAGCGACGTGATTGATGTACTTCGAAAATGCGTCTGCCATGAACATCTCATCGGCGTTAATGATGTCATTGGCGCCGAACAGCTCGGTCCATGATGTCTCGCCTGCTTTCGCTGTGGTGATGTCAAATCGTTTCTTGAACTCTGGGTGCAGTTCATGAGTCTTCGACTGAAGATGTTGGAGCAGTGCTTTCGGTACAGGCTCCTGGAATTTCGTTTCCGCGATCTTCGAGCGATCCCTAGAATCGCCCATCAACCCAGTCTCGTTCTGGACCTGCATCATGATAACAGTGCTATGCTGTCCATCGAATTCCTTCAGATGTCCCATGAGCTTCGCGAACGCCTTGGCGTCAGCCGTCCACGCCGCCTCGCAGAAAGGGCTTATGAGCTCGACCGTCCTTCTCTTGCCTCCTGCTTCTAGCGCATGCACTCTAGGGAACCTATTCACGTCCCTTTTCACCCACGCGGGTGCGTAAGTGCTGAGCGCATTCTTGAAGCTGCCAAACCAAAGTAGCACAAGTTTGATATTGTTTTGGCGCGCCGCCAAAATCACAGCGTCGAGGTTCGAGAAGTCAAATTGACCTTCTACTGGTTCGATCTGCTCCCATGACACTGAGCCGAGCAGCGTGTTGATGTGCATGTCGCGCACGTTCTGCCATATCTTTTCATCGGCCATGTATTTCGCGGAGCTGAGAGTGGAATTGTGTAGTTCAGCGCCGAGTATGAGGTAAGGTTCGCCATCAACGACAAGCTGGCTTGAGGTTCTGGTCTTGCGAAGGTGTGGAATTGACATTGTTGTTAGGAAACAGTCAACAAGCTGACGGCCGCGGTGAGTAAGGGCGCAAGATGATGTGGACGACAGAGATACGTGCTGGAGGGCGCGGGAGACGCATATTAATACCCTAGGTATGACGAATACCGGCCTACAGTACCATGTTGCTCGCAAGGTTGTCGGAGTTATTCTGCATGAATTGAAAGTATGCTCAAATGGCCTTGCTTCAACCGTAGTGTCCGCTCCTAGCTTGCGCGTGCAGATGCGGGCAACGCTAACGGAAAAATACACGAGTCATATATCCGCCGCCAACAACGCCGCCCAGATTGCTTCCAACTCACTCCTGACATCCTCGTGGCGCTCTCTGGACGACTAGTAACGCAGAGCTAAGCCAGTACCCCCACCACCACCATCATCAGAGTCTCCTGAACCCCCCTTCTTGTCATCGTCGTTCTTCTTGCACCGGAAGGCTCGCCGCCTCTTTGGTTTGGGCTTCGCGGGCTTGGAAGGATCAACCCTCGGGATATGTCCTGTGCGGACGATGTTGTCGTATACCTCCTCATCCTCGCGATGTGCTCTCAGACAGCTGGCTCGCTTGCATTCTCCAGTCTCGTAGTCCTTGCATTTGGCCCTTTTGCAAAGTCGCTTGAATGTGGTGCAGTTATTGCAAGGCTCTCCGGAGTCGCATCGGAGCTTGAGTTGATAGCAGTGTATGCACACGATGACGCGCGTGGTATCTTGAGAGCTGTAGAGCAATTAGCGGAATGGTTGTGGTATCGTGGCGACTACTTACTTGGCTTCATCGAAGGTCCGCTTGGTACCGTGGGTAGAGCCGGCAACGTTGTCTTCTGAGAGAGCGTGGGTGGTGTGGTCCAAGTAGTTTGCCGAAGACGAGGCGTCCAGACTTTCCGAATGGGAGGCCGAGAATGCCTTGTACATTCCTGGGTGATGGATTGGGGTGTCGGGTAGGTCAGACTTGAGCGCCTTGTCGTCAGTATGGACTGCTGTCATGTCGCCATCGCTGCTTCCACCGTCTTTGTCTTCACCATCTACCTCCAGGAACTTGCACTTGAGGACCAAGAGCTCGACGTCGCCTTCAAGGACCTTCCGCTTGCGGTCCGATTCCTTCAGATGCTTCCTGAGGTTGATGACTTCTTGATAGGTCGCACTGTGGGCCTCTTTCTCTCGGTTGTAGGCCTTGATGCTTTCCTGCAGCTCCTCCACGAGCGCCTGGATGCGTGGTGGGTCCATGATCGGGTCGGAATGGTAGGCAATGGGAGAGGATAGTGAGAGTCTGAGAATTTGGGGGTGAGCGCGTTTTGTCGTTGTGTGCGCTGGGTGTTTGCAGTGACTTGGGACTAACCTGTTTGGGAGCTAAGACTCCTCTCCCCTTCACTACTTACGCGGTTTCTGCGTCCTCTAGGCTCCAGCGCGCGAATTACTGGCATCACGTGAGCGATTGTTAGCGTGTTACTAGGAGTATATCATCTCGCTCTCCCCTGCCCTTCTTGCTCTCTTTTCCTTCTTCAGGAGAAACAGTCTCCGGCCCAGTTCGCACAGCAGAAACGGCGGATTTCGACAAGATTTACTCGACAAGTACCCCGACCAACTCAAGCGCATTCGAGCACTGCCAGAGCACCTGGTGCGCCTCGTCGCTACTTGTATGGATCCGCGCACAGTACGAGAACGACGAGCTGGTCATGATCGCGACCGTCCGGCGCAGTAGTCCGCTCCTCTCGTTGCTCAGAGCTACGTCATTTTGATGACATGCTCGATCCTGGACGAAATACTTACCAAGCATTCAGCAAATCCGGTGTTCTGGTAAAAATTAACGTTGGGGACGTTGGGTGTTTGGGTTGACATCTCTAGTAGATGACGTGAGCGTTCAGACCATCGTGGATCGCTTACCATTTTTTATCACCCTCTTACCAATGAGACAAGATCTTGAATGGAAGATGAGAAGCTTGGGACTGGCAATAACGGGTTCACTTACGGCCCACCTTTTCTTTTCATTGATATCCGCGCTTTATGCGTGGAATTGAGGAAGAGATAGAATATGTGCGTACTTGAGAGACCATTGGAAAGAAGGGAAGTGACCTCATCGTTCGTTGTAAGCTGTTGACGATGTTCATCGATTACAGAAGACGAGAAAGTAGACTTAAGAAAGGCAGATACTCTCAGAAGACTTTGATGAACTCACATACTTTTCACTGAGCGAATGGAAACGGCATCCTGCCGCGCACTCCTCATCGTGCCTTTTGATATGTTCGTGCGTCTATTGAGGTTTCTTATAGACGTCAAGCTGAGCTGTTGTGCTCCTTCCATAACCTAAAACATGTAGTCGTTTGGATATCTTGCTTCGAACTACGCAAACAAGGATCGCTTCCGTCGTCTTGCCGATGTTGTAATGAGAGCAATGTTTCAAGTGTTCTCCTGCGATCAATCAACTAAGATTCCCTGACATCGTAGTCAACCGATGTCTAAACTGATGATGACGGGTCCAAAGTGGCGTTGCGACCAGCGACAAGGCGATCATCTCAGACCCATCAGCTAAGCGGAAGGCAGTACAGTTTGAGCATGAACGAGATATGTTGAGAAGATTCGAGCTCGAGCTCGTCGAGACGGCTGTATGATAGGCGGAGGTGGATATCACGATGCACGCATGGTGTTGAGGTTCCAGCCAAGCGACCCCACCATTAGCCTTATCGCGCTCGTGTACACCTTCTGTGTTCGGCAACAACCCCGCCTACAACACCGAGCTGTCCCATCATGGCTGAACTACGGCGGAGATGGCCGCTGACGCGCAAATCGCCTGATCTTCGAGTCTCTCTTTCCATCGCGCGAGTGTGTGTTTATAGCAGCTGTTCTCCTGCACCCCATTCCAAGCTCGGACCGATACGACGCGACAAGGAGTGACGACATGGCGAACATCACATCAGCCGTCTCGCAGGATGATCTGGAGATTCCGGTACTTTACATTCATTCATGCTTTCCGGCCAGCACCTAACGCTGCTTAGCTCATCGACTTCTCCGTGTTCCTCTCAGGCGACGCAGATGCGAAGAAGCAAACCGCCGACGCCGTCCTCGAAGGCTTCCAGAACGCTGGCTTCATCTACCTCAAGAACCACGGCATATCCCCCTCGGCCGTATCCACAGTATTCTCGCACTCCGCCAAGTTCTTCGCGCGGCCAAAAGAGCAAAAAGACAAATTGGCATGGTACTCAGCTGCCGCCAACCGCGGCTATGTCACACAAGGGCGGGAGAAGCTGGTAGTGTTGGAAGAGACAGGCACAGAAGCGGAGATGCGCGCCTTGGTGCCAGATCTGAAGGAGAGCATGGAGATCGGACGCGACGACCAGCCTGAGATGCCGAACATGTGGCCGAGTGGAGACGACGACGCGACGCAGTTCAAGGAGCAGATGATGGGCTTCTTCGAGACGTGCAAGGACCTTCACATGCAGGTCATGCGCGCTATTGCGCTGGGCATGGGCATCGATGAGAAGTGGTTCGACGGCTTCACGGATGCGGGCGATAATACGCTGAGGCTGCTGCACTACCCGGGCGTGTCGAAGAGCATTTTCAAGAGGAACGATGGGCAGGAGCAGGTGCGCGCTGGAGAGCACAGCGACTACGGTATGGTGGTCATCACAACTCGGAAATAGAATTTGACTGACACGACGACAGGCTCTATAACCCTCCTCTTCCAAGACGCCCGCGGCGGTCTCCAGGTCCGCTCCCCCAAGGGCACTTTCGTCAACGCTACCCCCATCGCAGACACCATTGTCGTCAACGCTGGCGACTTACTAGCACGCTGGTCGAACGACACCATCAAGTCAACAAAGCATCGCGTCATGGAGCCACCGCCAAAGCCGGAGGATGCTGACAAGGACGAATACCCACCGCGATACTCGATAGCCTACTTCTGCAACCCGAACTACGACCGCAAGATCGAGGCCATACCAGGCACATACGAGAAGGGCAGGAATTACGAGGATGTTATGAGTGGGGATTATATCATTGGGCGGTTAACGGCGACGTATTGAGGGACGAAGCAATGTGATGAATTTGGTGTGTGCTGAGACGTCTGTTTGCAGATTGCTGCATGGTCACAACTTCTTATATGCATTGAGGTTTGCTCGGGACACTCTAGAAGATTTATCTGCAATTGACTGTGTAAAGCTCATCAAGCCTGCTGTATCTAAGTTCCATTATACCGTGTATAGCGTCCGCATCTTCTATATCGCGTCGACTGCATTACATCCTACTATGATTAACCCAGCACAACGCCAGTCTGAAGCATCAGACTATGAACACCACCCTCTACCAAGTCCAGCGGCGCAACAAGAGCCATCTGACTCCAGCTGAACAGCGTATTGCGCCCTCCGTACACGAAGACCTCAAACCGCCCCGCGAATGTACCATTCACCCAGACGCGACTACCGCTCAATACGTCGGTCTCAATGCGCAGATTTGCGGGCAGTGTAATCGGCGCAGGCTCATGGGAGGATGTCGTCTGGTTGGTCCATATGCGACCCGGATGTCCAGGGTCGTGGCCATCACTAGGAGATACGGAACGTAGAGGATACTCGAAGCCGTCGGATGTGGTGAACGTGGTAGTGCTGCCATTGGAGTTGGTTGGAAGATCAACGAGAGATAGCGAGGTATCAGGGCCGGTCAAGGTGAAGGATGAGGATGCGTTCAGGGTCAGGGTGTAAGGTGGTCCGTACGAGCCCACTCCTAATGTCGCGTTACTGTCAATGGAAGAGTTGCGCGTCCATGATACCAGCGCTGAGCTTGGCGAAGCTACGTTCGTGCTCGCAAAACGTCGATCTAGGTTCTGTCCAGGAGCTTTAGTTGCCTAACAAAATTCTCATTAGCGACCAGGTCAGGTCCCATCAATGCCTCACTTCGCCTGAACATACCAGAAGCGCAATGCTGTCCGCCAACTCGTTCGGGTCGATCTTTGCACCTCGCGCACCAGCCCATGCACGAGCCGCCACGACAGGTATACCCTCTCGCATCGCATAGTAAGCTTCCAACTGCGTAGTCGCATCCGGACCATTGTCGTTCCAAGCTGCAAGAATAGCGCCTTTGTTGCCGCTAGCACCAGGCTCTAACTGATCTGTGGTGTTGACTGGATTGTAGAGAGATGGTTCCCACTGCCATCCTGGAACGTTGGCAAAGTTCATGGTGCGTGTATTGTTGTAGAACTGTGGGTATGGTGCCGGGAGAATGGGCATGTGGTCGTTCTTGAGACTCATGTATGCCCACCAATCCTCCGAGTTGATCATATCGTATTCATCGTTCTGGAGCTCGAGTGGGTCTGATTGACCGTATTGCCAGTGCTGTACTATGATGTCTCTCGAGATGGTGAGGTTCTCGGATGGCTCGTAAGTGCCCCAGATACGTACGCGCTTCCCAGAAGTACTGTTGATGAAGTCGGCCATCTCGTTGACGAAGTTGATGTAGTCGTCCGCGAGCTCGGAATCGTACTCATCAGCGCCGATATGTACCTCCTTCGTTTGAAACCATGGCAGAAACTCGGACCAGATTGCTTTGACTGTCGGGATTGCGTCCGGATGGCTCAGGTTGAGCAGGTCCTTCTTTGCCAGCGCTAACTCAGGCTTCCATTTCGTAATCGCTAGAGCATGGCCTGGGGCTTCGATCTCCGGAATGACGGTGACGGCACGTTGTGCGCAGTGCTGTTGGAAGTCTTCGAAATCGGCGCGTGAAAGTGTCTCGTTTGGACGCTGAATGATAGCCTGCAGCTCTACATTTTCTTCCGGATACAGCGAAAAGTGCGAGAATACGTCTTGCCAGGTCTCATTGCGACCTCGGTTCAAGGGATAGTTGTCGCTAGAGTGATAATGGAACTCTGACATCTTGAAGAAAGAGGCATATGTGCAAAGCTCTTTGAGAAAGTCCTTATCGTACCACTTCCGGCCTGCGTCAAGCATGAACCCTCGTGTGCTGTATGCAGGCGCATCAACTATTCGAACTGCCATAGGAGAGCCATTGTCAATCAAGAGCTTCTGCAGTAGGGTGCGCGTTCCCCAGAACATGCCTCTCGCACCTGCTCCGCCTATGTATACAGTGCCATTGGTAACCTCAAGCTCGTATCCTTCTTCTGTAGGCTGACCATTCTCGTATGTCAATGAGAGATTGCTGTCTCGAATCGGGCCGATGTGGATGCCAGTGAGTGGGAAGTCGTCTACTTGCTCCAGAGTCCAGGAACCACCAAATAATGATGAGATGTCGGTGCGGAATGTTTCAGCGAACTCATACGCGGTTGGCGGTATGAGCGTTAAACCTTCGGAATCTCTCTTTGTGGCGAAACTTCTGTCGATATATATCTTTCTTGCATCTGTGCCGATAGAAAAGCCGAGGTCGTCGCTGTTGCTGTAGCGTGGAGAAACAGGCGGAAGAGGCTGCAGTGCGGTAACGAGGCCGATCAACTGCGACAAAACCAAAATCAACATCGTCGGTATGAGACGATACAAGTGATTGCGCGCTCAGTTCGCTGTCGTGGACATATCACAGCATGAAGATACCATGTCTTGGCCGTTTGTTGCTCGCCCCGCTTCTGCAAGGCCGATGTAACCTCCGCAGGGAGCACAAATGGCGGCAAATGATAAGAAGTGAAAGCCGAAAAGAGGTGTCATCTTGGCAATCAATTGGAACGGCGGTGATGAATACGAAGGGACGCGTTGTCGCAAGATATGACTTGCGGTCAGCTCTAAGGACGTATGCGATAAGTTCGCCTGGGAACGGTCTAACCCAGTTGAGGAAGAATGTGTCCCAAGTCTATGGAACCGCGACGATGCATACAGCGATAGCGGGCTGTACAGTATCGCGGAGAGGACTCCCCCAGTGTCAGCTCAACGCTCGTTCGCTTCCTCCCTTACGTAGGACACTTCTCGCCTTTCTTTTCCAAAAAATCATGAGGTCATAGACCAGCCGTGTGTCGAGGCTCTCTAGGTAATGCCGTGAGTTCAACAGATCGTGATAGCGAGCGACGCCTGAGTACAGCTAGCAGGAGTGCGATGCGCATAGAATTCAAATGACATTTTAGTAATGACAAGGCATGAGCGACAGAAGTGATGTGATCGGGCACCTGGGATGGAAGGTGTTCAGGGAGCGCTAGCCAGATGAGTGAAGTTTAGCGCATCGGAGAAAATCTGCGTCTGTACCGACTTCAACCGGCAGTCGCGCACCCTCAACCACAAATCGAAAGTTCACATTATGTATCAATAGCATTGGCATTTCCAGGCGTTCTCATTCCTTTTTTCTCCCACAAATATGGATCGCCATCAGCGCGTCGTTGCGCAAGTCGCGTCCAAAGTCAAAGACTACTTTACACGCAAAGAACCCTTCCGGATATCTCACGGCTCGACAAACAGCACGCGTCCGAATCTTAAGAAGCATGTCGTAGATATCAGCGCTCTTCGGAATGTCATACGCGTTGATATGGAAAGCAAGACAGCTCTTGTCGAGCCAAACGTACCTATGGATCGGCTTGTAGAGGCTACGCTACCGCATGGCCTTGTGCCACCCGTCGTGATGGAGTTCCCTGGTATTACTGTTGGTGGCGGGTATGCGGGAACAGCTGGCGAGAGTAGTAGCTTTAAGTTTGGGTTCTTCGATCGCACTATCAATGAGGTAGAGATGGTCATGGCCGACGGTGAGGTCGTCAAAGCTAGCGAGAAGAAGAATGAGGACCTGTTCAGAGGGGCTGCTGGCGCTGTCGGTACCTTGGGGGTTACTACGCTTGTCGATTTGAAGCTCATCGAGGCCAAGAAATATGTCAAGACAACATACTATCCTACACGTAGCGTTCCTCAAGCTGTCAAGGAAGTCGAAGACCATACACGAGGTGAAAAAGGCGAGAGGAACGACTATGTTGATGGCGTCTTGTTTAGCAAGGACCACGGTGCGATCGTCACAGGCGAAATGACAGATGATCTGCCATCCAACACCAAGCCGCAGACTTTCAGTAATCCGTGGGATCCGTGGTTCTATCTGCATGTTGAAGCCGCTACACGGAATTCTACCAAGCCAGTGGTGGAGTACATACCCTTAGCTGAGTACATGTTCCGCTACGATCGTGGTGGCTTTTGGGTTGGTCGGTCCGCTTTCAGCTACATGCGCTTTCCCTTCAACAAGTACACTCGCTGGTTCCTGGACGACTTCCTCCATACGCGCATGCTCTACCGAGCTCTTCATGCGTCTGGGATTGCGACACGCTATATCGTCCAAGACATGGCTTTACCCTACCCTAACGCCGAAAAGTTCATCGACTATACCGACAAGGCGTTTGGTATCTGGCCTCTTTGGCTCTGCCCGTTGAAGCAAAGCCCCCAACCGACTATGCACCCTCACACCAAAGGCGCCCTGAAGTCAGATCAAATGCTGAATATTGGTCTTTGGGGGTTTGGTCCTAAAGACCCTGTCACCTACTTGCAGAAGAACCGTGCGCTGGAGAAGACGCTTGGCGAGATGGGCGGTATGAAGTGGCTGTATGCGCAGACCTACTACAGTAAAGATGACTTTTGGGCACAATTCGATCATAAATGGCACCAAGGGTTGAGGAAGAAGTACAACGCGGAGATGCTACCTGAGGTGTATGACAAAGTGCACGTCGATATCGAAAAGTACACGAGTATGGCAAACAAGGATATGGGATTGAGACTGAGAGGCATCTGGCCATTAGGCGGATTTTGGGGCATCTGGAAGGCCATTCAAAGCAAAGATTATATGATCGCGCGTAACTCTACGTGGAGGTCGAGAAGCTGAAGAAAATCTCTTCTGCAAGCAACAAAGTCATGTTCAATCTGCATTAGTCAAAAGACCCTGTCGAGACGATTTGTGCGACCTCGAAGAGTTTCCAGTGCAAAGCTTGCTGCCTGCCTAAAACTTGCTCACACCAACCATTCTACATCCACAACACCACAATACCACACCACCTGCACTCGTCTCAATTCAACATGAACGCCCCGATCATCGCTCCTTCGCTCGTCTTTACCGACATGTTCCGCATGGCGGTCGTCCACCTGATCTTCAACATCTCAGTGAACGTGTTGGACGAGACTGCTGAAGCCGTCATGCGCGAGGTGACCGCCAATATCGACGCGGACCCAGCCAAGCTGAAGTACACGGTTGACATCATTTACGCCAGTGCCATGGAAGACAGGAACTGGGTATTTGTCGCAGTCAAGCTCCTCAATTATCTCTGCCTTCTCATCCCAGCAACACTGGCCGACCCAAACGTCCTCCCCGATGGCAACAACAAGCTACGCTCTGGCCCGCGCCTCGTCCAGCACTACATCTACAACCGCTCGCTGGCCGACTTTCAAGCCGACATGCAGAAAGCCGCATGGTGCCAACCGCGCATGTGGCTCCTCGCTGAACTAGGTAAGTCTTGCCTCTACGAAGTGCATGTAAGACATATAGTGACTTTGTACCTCTACCTCTGAAGCCGACGCAAATTCATCACCTCTTCTCATGTCACATAAGACAAACATCTGGATCCTAGACATGATGGTCAATGCAGAGCATCTGTACAGCAACAACAATGTCGACTTCTTCAGCGAGTACGTGGAGTTCGTTGCGCGTGGACTGGATGAGAATCCGCCTACTGAAGTGGAGCTTACACGGGTGTTGGAGAAGGTGCGGGAGCGCACAGTGATGACGGACCAGGATCTCATGTCCAAGATCAAGGTTACAGGACTCATCGCTCTGAGGGAGAAGGGTTGGGCCATGTGACAGCAACCTTGGAAAGATCTGACGTAACGCAAATTGTGAAAGGCTTGATTATCATGCACGATTGGCGGACAGCTTTGGCTTCTTGTACTATAGGAACACATCGGATAGTTGGCTGCTGCGATTGTTCTCAGCAGCCAATGTACTACTACCATGTGTCACTATCGTAGCCGCACCTTCGCCGCCAGTGTGCCAGACCCTGACCCTGCGCCCAACGCCAAGCCTTCATTCTTTGCTCCTGCCCATTGTGTCGAGTCGCACCACCTCGACGCGTAGAATTACCTCGCACGCATTACTGATCTCACGCATCCAGAACATTACGACAAGATGGCTGCAGCTACGGGGCCACCTATCGACTTGTCCGCGCAGCTTCCAAGCGACGTATACCAAGAGCATTTCGAATTCACTGAGGCTGTCCGCGATATCGTTACCTCCATAGATGGTCAGACCCCGGAAAGCACAATACGCTATCAAGTTGAGCTGCTCCTCGCACTTGTCGGCAGAGACCTATCGAAACTTCACCGCTTCGTTGAAGTCGTCAACGCCAGGATTGTGAGTCGATCGAGCTGGGCCATAGCAATAGGCGTAAAGTTCTACAGGTAAGATATTAGTCGGGGTGTAATAGTCCACGGCTAACTTGACGGCACTAGGGCACTGTTCACCGCAATCGATCCGGATCTGGAGCTCGAAGTCTTCGTCAAAAGGCTCATGGGCGCCGACATCGCCGGCCTGTACATTCTCGAAGTTGCTGGACAGTTCATTGCCAAGTCGGAATGGGCACCTGAATCAATCAACGTCCTGGAGTTCTCACTGTGCTTTTTCAGAGCCTTTCCGGTTGAACATCGCGGATTGGCGATAGCGAGGCATCTGGGGTGCGGTTTATTGGAGAAGATGGCTACGTCACCCTACCTGCCGTTCCACAATAACTTCGATACATTCGCTACCTTCGCATACAAAGTCATCCCTCTGCTTGATACCGCAGACGAGAGCTCACAATCTAGCCGCGTCACCGACATCCTACAGGCTTTGAAAGCGGCGGACTATGAAAAGACGGATGAGGAGAAGGCCGAACTAGAGCTCATGTGCAACGAACTGGGGCGGTCCAACCTCTACCAGAAATATACAGAGGATACTGTGGGCGAGCATATAGACTCTCCTGAGTTCGATTACGTATACAGCGAGGGTCGATTCAGCCTTCTTCCACTTCAGAAGCTCGACCAGGAGATCAAAACCAGCTGGAAGCTCTTCACCACAACACCGAATTGGGAATTGCCAGCTATCGAACGTTTGCTCAAGAGCATCTCTGAAGCCATGAAGATTGACGCTCCAACCTGGGTACAGACCGTTACGCTCGACATGATAGAGGTCATAATGCAGTCAGAGCATCTTTTCTTGCACAAGAACTTGGAGATACTGGTCGGCTTTATCCGTCCTGTTGCACCGGCGCTTGACGCTATGGCTGATACTCATCAATGTGGTCGATTGACGGCTCTGCTACATGATCTCAGTATCCAGAGCTGTATGCAGTCAGTACAGGATCGCGATGCCATCGAGGTTCTCCGCCGAGACCTGGGTAGAATCGTGCGACGTCCTACAACACAACCTGCGGGCGATGGGCCTCAGGAAGATGAGCTTTCGGCAGCTGTCTCCAAGCTTGGTATTGACTGATATCTTCGAACGGTAAAGTGGGTTCGGATCGTGCGGGCCGATTGTTTCGACG